TTCCATTTGTCTCTCTTTAATTGAAAACAGTTAACAGGGTAAAAAATCCTAGAAAAGATTAGTGGACATTAAACAATTATTTTAAATGCCCTTATAGCCTTTATTTAACTCAAATTATCTTCATTTTTTAAGATGCCTGTGCTACCCTCTATCCCCTACCATTGTCCTTGTATTGGTTAGTTGTATGTGTGTGTGCGCGCGCGCACGCATGTGTGCTTATGTGTGCACACAAGTGCATATGCATATGGTACATAGGCATGTGCCTAAGAGGGATTGTCATGGCATTGATTAAAAAAAAATTCTTTTTAAAAATGGGAGGGTGCTGGAGATTGAACCCAGGGCCTTTGCACATGCTAAGCATGGGTTCTACCAGTGATCTCCACTCCAGCTCTGGTATTTTTTTTTTTTCCTAATGATTTTAGTATAAATTTAAAAGAGAGGGGCTGGGGATGTGGCTCAATCGGTAGTGCGCTCACCTGGCATGCATGCGGCCTGGGTTCGATCCTCAGCACCAAATACAAGCAAAGATGTTGTGTCCGCCGAAAACTAAAAAATAAAATTAAAAATTCTCTCTCTCTTAAAAAAAAATAAACAAAAGAGAGGGTGTTATATGCCCCCCCCCCAATTTATCTATCTATCTACCTACCTACCTACCTACCTACCTATCTATTTATTTATTTAAGACCAGCTCTCCAGGTTGGCCTTGAACTCTTGGGCTCAAGCCATCTTGCTAGCTTAGCCTTCTGAGTAGCTGGTACTGTGGCTACACTGTCCTGGCTGATGTTTTTTCCTTAATGTGTGGGATGTAACTATATTTCAAGAATAGTTGGCAGCTCTGTGTGTGTTTGTGTTGCCAGGATGGAACTTGGTGCCTTGTGCAAGTGCTGTCCCTCTGAGCCACTTTCTCAGCCCTGTTTTATTTTATTGTTTAAACCACTACTTCCAGATTGCTTTCCTTTGTTGAAATTTGCTATTCATAAGATACAGGAAGGTGCTGAGAAGATGAGCTTGGAAGAGCATAGACGGTCCTAGGGCTTTTGGATTTGTTTTATGAAGGTCGCATCTAACACTGAAGTTGGCCAACAAGGTGTTCTATGGAAAGGGACAACCAATCTGATTTACTCCAGGAGTTGAGTTGGGTTTCTGCTTTCAGTTTTCCTTTAAATAAAACTTTCTGATACAAAAACACTATTAAAATCTGGGAAAACGTGTTATACTAACACATGTTGGAAAGTGCTGTTGTAGACGGAATAAAATTCCAGGGAGGAATTTAAGAATTTAGGAATTTAAAGCACCTCTAGAGAACCAAACTGTAGGCACTTGAATTCCTAATCAACCTCCTTAAGTGTGCTGTTCAAGACGCAAGAGGTCTGGGGAGGTAGCTCAGTGGCAGAGCGTTTTCATGGGATGATCCCCAGCACCACACAAACAAGGACCACAAAAAGCAGAGCCTCTGAATTAAATAGAAAATTTCTTTAAGAAAATTTAAACAGTAGAAATCAGTGCCTTGGTTAATTGAATGGTGAATAGAGGTGTACCCACCTCTTGATTTATTGAAAAGAAAAAACTGTGGGCCCAGTGGCGAACACCTGTAATCCCAGCAGTTCAGGAGGCTGAGGCAGGAGGATTTGCGAGTTCAAAGCCAGCCTCAGCAACTTAGGGAGACCCCGTTTCTAAATAAAATATAAAAAAGGGTTGGGGATGTGGCCTGGTGGTTAAAGCACCCCTGGGTTCAATCACAGGTACTGGGGAAAAACAAACAGACAAACCTTGGCCTATTCTGTATGTCAGACACCATCTTCTAGGACATAATGGGACAGAGGTAAGAGAGATACAAAAATCTCACTTGAAAATTCACTGTCATCTAAATTGTGGGGACACGGTCATTTTGTAAAACCGAAAAACTGATCATAATGGACAAACGTAAATAACCAGAGAGTCTTACATAACACAGTGATCCTCTGGTCCTGTGCATATTGCATTCCCGTGAGCCTTCCTTCAACCTCGACACCTGACCTCTGGGTTCACATGTCATGTCCGCCCCTCCCCCTGCATTTCCTTTTTAACCATAGAGGTGATTTGATTATATTTTTTAATCTCTGAGAATTCTTATCTTGGAGCCAGATGGTATTAGCCCTGAGAATGTCCTAGAAGTGAGTACTTAGAGGGAGGAGGAAAGAGAGGATTATAAATTCCTCTCAATATGAGTAATCAGTTGTAATCAGGTGGAGGCTAGTTTACTTTTCTTCTGTGCAAACAAAATTGCCTTTTCCTAACCTACCAAGAGGAATAAATTATCTGCTCAAATATATTGGTTGATGTAAATGCCTCTTGTAGTTAGTTCGTTAACTGGGGAATAAAAAGCATATTATCTGGCTATGTTTCAACTCTTGGCCATTTCTTTCCTATTAGTATCAGTGCAGGATTGGCCCATTTGATTTTAAGAATTTGTTCTAAATGTGGAACCAGATACTTCTTCATAAATTATTTATAATTTGTATATAAATACAGCAAGACTTTTTAAATTCATATGATGAGATTACTGTGTGTCCTGTGTCTATCAAAAACCATATATCTGGCTCTTCTTGTCTTTAATCCAGTCTGACAACCTGCTTTTTTGTATACTTACTGTGATTGTGTATATTCTCCTTCATTCCTTTCTGCAATTGGAGTTGGAGTTTTATATTTGCCATGATTTTCCACCATTCCCCCTCTTGTCCTTCCTTGCTTTCTTTTTAAGTGTTGTTTTTTCATTTAATTTCTCCTCTGTTATTTTGGAAGTTATGCACTCTAATTATTCCCTTAGAGGTTACCCTAGAAAATTTAACTTAATGAAGTTCAAAAATTAATCAGTAGCTTTACACTGCACCCGAGTGAGAATGATTTCTTCACGACCTGCTCCTCTTGGTTTACACATTGTTGCCCAGTGCTCTGGTTCTGCCTTATTTTTCTTAACTTTCACAAATCACACACTGTGACTGTAACTTCATGTAGTCACCGTGCATGCAGGTTCACTTGCACTCCTTGCATTTTAGGTTTTCCTTGTGGCATTATTTTCCTTTTTTTTTGGTACTAGAGATTGAACCCAGGGATGCTTAACCACTGAGCTCCATCCCCAACCCTTTTTATTTTTTATTTTGAGACAGGGTCTCGCTAAATTGCTGAGGGTCTCACTAAGAGGCCGAGGCTGGCCTCAAACTCACAGTCCTCCTGCTGCAGCCTCCCAAGTCACTGGGATTACAGGTGTGCGCCACCAGGCCCGGTTATTTTCCTTTATTAAATTTTTCCTTTGACAATTATTTTATTTCTGGCCTCTGGTAATAATCTGACCTTTTTTAAAAAAATGCCTTTTCTATCTTTTAAATTGACAGATACTGTATTAAGATGCTATTCTACTGTCTTTCATTATTGTCTTCTTCCATTATTGCTGGTGAGAAGTTGTCTGTCCTTTTGTTTTTCTTTTATGATCTTTCTTCTGCTGAGCTCCTCTCAAGGTATATTTGTCCTTAAAGGCAATGAGACCACAATACATTTAAGTGTGGTTCTCTTCCTTCTTTTTTCTTCCTTACATTTTTAAATTTAACTTGCTTATGATGTATTGAAACTTCCTGAAGAGAAGAAACCTTCAGTCCAGGAGAAGGCATCACCTCCTTGGATACTGGATTTCTCCTTTACTCTTATCTCCTCCTAGAACCTGTTACTCTTAACTTCTCATTCATACTTCCCACCCTTTCGAATCCTAAAACATGTGATCCATATTATATACACTTTTTTGATTTGTGAGGGACGTTTCCAATATTTACCGTCTTTGATTCTTCAGTTTATGTGTGTGTGCATTTAAATTGTGAGCTCATGTTCCTTAGATACTTATTTGAGGGATTCTTCAAAGCCTGTGTTTAATAAAAGTGTTCCTTGGAGAGGATTTGCCTGGCACAAGAAAATTGGTAGAACTACCAATGCAGAACCACTTTGGTTGGGCATATTTCTTGGGGCGGTATGGTCACCTCCATAATATGACTTTGAGTTTCAAACCTGAATATAGGTCTGTTGATAGGAATTCTCCAGGAGATATTTTTAGTGCTCCATTTGCATGGAGCTGTCCCCTGCCGCCCCCCCCCCCCCAATATATCTGATCTTATCTTCCACCCTTTTTCTACACCCTCTTGTTTAAATTCCTGCTTCTGTACTATCTTATCCTGGCATTCAGCTTTCTTGGCATTTCTGTCCTTCTCAAAGGCAGCCTGGACATAATGGAATAGTGTTGTTCTTAAAATGACACCACTATTTTTAAGGTCTTCTAGACATCTATTTTGGAATAATGTTTGAGATGGAAGCCCCTATGGCCTATTTATACAGGCATTGCCATTTTGCATCCAGCATCACTGATAGAGAAAAAGCCAAAAGATCCCACAGATAACCTATAAGGAACCCTTGTCAATAAGGTTGAGAATTTTTTTTGAGTTAAATATGCAGAAAATTTGCCTGACTTTACCTTTGAGGGAAGTTGGTTCGAGAATGCTTTAAAAATGGGAAAATCTTTTGAAAACTTGTTTTTTGTTTTTTCTTTTTCCCCAAGGCAGGGTTTTGCTAAATTTGCCCAGGTTGGCCTTGAACTTGAGATATTCCTGGATAGCTAGGGTTACAGAGATGGGCCACTGTCATAGTTTAATTACATTTTTTTTTAAAGGTTTTTATGTTGACAGTGTGAGTGGTGATGATAAAAGGGCTCAGCCCTTAACATTTTATCCTTTTTTTTTTTTTAAGGGGCTCTCACTATGTATTTCTCTAATTTTTCTAGTATTGTGTTAAGGAAACCATTTCATGGAAAGAGAGTATGAAAATAGGTAGCATGACATTCTGAGCACATTTTGACTTTCTGATACATAGAAATTGGGAGTTGGACTTTAAATTGAGACATCCTGAATTACAGTTACAGTTTTATTTCTGGCACTGAGAGATTTACGGCTTTAATCAAGTTGTTTTTGCTTATTTTAAAACAGGCCCCAGGCATGGAGGAGCTGATATGGGAACAGTACACTGTGACCCTACAGAAGGTGAGTTCTGCACATGTCCTGTGTTATACGGTCAAGGTCTTGATCTTATTTATTTTTGTCCACCCACTTATGTTTCCGTTCTTGAGATAGATCACGCATCATGTGTACTAGCTGGCAGTAACCACAGTGTTAACAAAGATTTGCCTGCTGTTAGGTTTTGTGGTTAAGTTCTGTATACTGTGGAACCTTTCATAGAATATTGAGTGCTGTCGCTTATTTCTAGACAGTGCAGGTTATGAAACAAAGAGAAAAGTAAGGGAAGAATGAAAATAACCTATGTACTGTTTGAGGGTGGATATTTTTCACTATAATCCATTTACCTTATAACCGTCAAGTGAGTTTTAAACACAAACTAAATTAGAAAAGATTGACTTAGGAATCAGGTGACGGGTTCTGTTCTTCTTGCTCTCCTGAATGTTTTAAGAATGGTTGAGTTAATCAAGTTAAAAATCCACTTCCCCATGGTATTGAAAGAATTAATTCCATATATTAGTATATTTTACTTACTTTTAAAGTCATCTCACAGGTATTACCCTTCTTCATTGAATGAGGGGATTCATAGAGCTTCCAATCCATGGAGATTGGCACTCCGTATGTACATGTTAGCTCCCTTTTTATTTGATAGCCAAGTTTTAGGTAGACATAATAGGTGTTAGCCCTGCTATAGGCAAGCATAGCAACCAAGAGTCTTTAAGTCTTTTATGTGAGGCTGAGCTGGTCTAGAACTACCTGTGTGATTTGCCAATTATTTTTAATTTATTTATGCTTTTTAACTTGGGCTCAAACCCAAGGCCACACCTGGTAGGTAGTGGCTGTCCCACATCCCCAGCTCACCATCCCTGGTTCTCATTCCATCCAGCTGCCTTCCTGTCAGCACCACTGAGCCCAGCAGTGATCTTCTTCCCCACAGGAATCTTCCCTCTGTCACCTCCAAAAGGGATTGGGAATTCCTCAAAGTTAAAGATTTCCTTTGACCCTTAGCACCACCCTGAGCCTCCAGCCCTGTCTTCCGTGAAAATTTCATTCCCACATTAAATGTTCAGTGAGAATCCAGGTAGAAAAAGTTGTCACTGGGTCAGTGCCCGAGTGCCCAAACTTCGGTATCAGTTATTGCAGATTCTTTAGTTGGAGAACTTTGCCCATTCAGGTCTTTATTTTCAGTTTTAGTCATCTTGGTTCTTTTCTGTGCCCATTCTGCTAGAATTTCATGTGACCTTTGAGTTGTAGACCCCGAATTAGCTGAAGTGAGGAACTTTTTAGGATTGGTATAGAGGAGGGTACTGCCTCTACCTAAAACCAGGTGTCTGATGCTGCCAGATTCATAGCCATATGTTTAATAGACAATGACCCAGCCTGTTTGGGGTTTGAAATGTCAGCATAGTGGGCCCCAAACCAGAACTTTTCCTTGGGGCTAGAGATTTTCTTTTATTCTCTGATTAGATTTTTTTTTTAAATCACTAACCCAGATTTAGAATTATACTGCCACCTCTTATGTTTAGAAACTCGGCTTAGCTTTTTTAACACCGAAAAGAGTTAGGATTATTTTTTAACTGGATTCACTGGTGTGCATTGCTGGACTACCCTTGGATATATATTAATTTCCATTCTTCTGGGCATGTAGAAAAAAAGTTTAATGCTTTGCTCACTCATAGGATCTCAATACTATTTTTATGTTTGGATTTGATCTTTAAATACATGTACTTTTCACCCTATATTAAAAATGAAGCCAGCAGCCCATTTAACTTGGAGTTAAAGATATACTTTTCGAAAATGCAGTTTTAGAGTCAAGTGTAATGGTGCATACCTATAATCCCAGAAACTTAGGAGGCTGAGGCAGAAGGATTGCAGAATAAAAATAAAAAGAGCTAGGGGTGGATATGGTTCAGTGGTAGAGCACCCCAGAGTTTAGTCCCAGACTTTAAAAAAAATTTTTTTTAAAAAAAATATGCAAAAACTCAGCTTTTACTGAAGTTGGAATTGTGCCAGCTTGGGCCAGCATGATGCAAGCAGATGTGATTGGTGCTTTGAACAGCACACACCTATGTGGACAGAAGACATTATTTCTTTCTCCTGCCAGCTTCTCGGGATAAGTCAAGTCTGTACATATCCATCTTTTACATTTTTCACAAGGCTGTTTCTTTTAGATAAGGGATTTCCCTTTATAAACCTGTAGGTTTATAAAGGGAATGACGCTTTATTTTGTTTTTTTATTTATTTATTTTATTTATTTCTGTAAGCCCATCTGTTCCTGAGCTATCTCTGGTCATTGATTTGACCTTTATTTTATTAAGCACTTGTAATAAATCCTGAAAGCCACTTGTGGAAGGATTTTAACATTTTTCTCCTAACCCTAACGAACAGGATTCCAAAAGAGGATTTGGAATTGCAGTGTCTGGAGGCAGAGACAACCCCCACTTTGAAAATGGAGAAACATCCATAGTCATTTCTGATGTGCTCCCAGGAGGACCAGCTGATGGCCTGCTTCAGTGAGTCTCCTCCCGCCCCCCCACCCCACCCCTGGTTCCTGCCAACTGTGCCAGTTGTCACTAGACAGGGTACTTTGGTTGATATGCACTTCTTAGGGAAAAAAAAAAACAAAACAAAACAGTTTTATATAACATTTGAAAAGTCTTCAAGCAGTAATTGAGGCCATAACTAGCACACCATGTTTTAACAGTCCCCAAATGTTGGGGGACATTTAAACTCTTGTGGAGAGGAGGGCAGTTATTTTTCACCCTATAAGAAGGTAGTTGCAAATATCACTTCACGGTTTAGGAATCATTTCCTAAATAGAGCGCTTGCCTAGCATGTGTGAGGTACTGAGTTTGATCTTCAGCACCACATAAAAATAAATAAAATAAAAGTATTGTGTCCATCTGCAACTAAAAATTTTTTTTTAAAGTTTTTAATCAGGATGGCTGGGGAGATAGCTCAGTGGTTGAGCTTATGCCTAACGTGTGAGTTCCTTGTTTTTGTTTTGATTTTGGCTTTCTTTTTGCAGTCCTGGTGTTGAACCCAGGACCTGGTACATGCTAGGCAAGCATTCCACCACTGGGCTATATTCCTAGCCTGAGGCCCTGCGTTTGGTCCCCTGGGTTTAATCTCCAGTACTATCCAAAAAGAAAAAGAAAAAGAAAAAATACTGAATAGACTTTGGTTAAATAATGACCTTTATTTATAAGAGGGATGCAGAAATTGGGAAAAGATACTGCAATAAAGCACAAGTTTGCCAGCCTTGTGGCCTGAAGAGATAATGCCAATTTAAAAGATCCATGTCTGAATTCTCTCAGGATAACTTCTCAGGGCAGAATCTAAAGTTAGCTAGATGGCTGCATTGGCCAGGTAGGTCAAACATTGAGGTTCTGTTTAAAGTCCATATGGTCCTGTCAAAGTTTGTAGTCTTTGATAGGAGCAATGTGAAATTTTAAAATAATTTTTTGGGTCAGTTAAAGGAATACAATTCTGTATTCTTAAAATTTCTTTCTTTCTTTCTTTTTTTTTTTTTTTTTTTTGGCTGTGCTGGGGTTGAACTTGGGGCTTGTTTGCGTGCTAGACAAATGGTCTACCACTGAACTATACCCCCAACCTTTAAAATTTATTTAGGAATCTGATGCAGGCTCTTGACTTGCTTCCCTCCAAACAAGCACAAATGGGTATATACTTATTTTGGGAGAGTGTTTGTAGATTTTTCTGAAGCCCTCCATGCACCTCACTAACAGAAGAAAGATATAGAAATTTCTTTGAGTACAGATCTCACCGTTACTAGGTGCCTGCTGGAGTGGCCCAGTGGTCTGGGGGCAGTCCTCTTTCTTCCTAAGTGGTCTGCGCTCCAGCCCCCTTTTCCCTCCATGGTTTCTCTCTGCTCCCGCAAGTAACTTGGCTCCAGGGGCTCTGTTCGCCCATCACACGGGACCGCGCTGCTGGCCGCTGCCGCGAGCAGACCCCCTCCGACAGCCCTTGCCGCGCAGGCCTCCCCCCTCTGCCCCGCCTCGGAAAGTTAAGTTTGAAGAGGGGGGACGAGGGAAACATGGACACGAAGAGGAGGATCCACCTGGAGCTGAGGAACAGGACCCCAGCAGCTCCTTAGGTCTTGCCCCAAATAGGCCAGAGCCCTGTGACTATTTGTTGGAAATTAAAAGGTTGGAGAACTTGTCTTGGACAATTGCAAATCAAATGATGGAAAAATTGAGGGCTTAACTGCTGAATTTGTGAACTTGGAGTTCCTCAGTTTAATAAATGTAGGCTTGATTTCAGTTTCAAATCTCCCCAAGCTACCTAAATTTGAAAAAGCTTGAGCTCAGTGACAATAGAATCTATGGAGGTCTGGATATGTTAGCAGAAAAACTTCCAAATCTCACACATCTAAATTTAAGTGGAGGGCTGGGGATGTGGCTCGGGGTAGTGCGCTCGCCTGGCATGCGTGCGGCCCGGGTTCGATCCTCAGCACCACATACAAATAAAGATGTGTCCGCTGAAAACTAAAAAATATTAAAAATAAATAAATAAATAAATAAATTTAAGTGGAAATAAACTGAAAGACATCAGCGCCTTGGAACCTTTGAAAAAGTTGGATTGTCTGAAGAGCTTGGATCTATTTAACTGTGAAGTCACTAATCTGAATGATTACCCTGGAGTGTGTTCAGGCTCCTGCCCCAGCTGACCTACCTGGACGGCGATGATGGAGAAGATGGGGAAGCCCCTGACTCAGATGCAGAGGTGGATGGTGTGGATGAAGAAGAGGAGGATGAAGAAGGAGAAGATGAGGAAGACAAGGAGGATGAGGATGGTGAGGAGGAAGAGTTTGATGAAGAAGATGAAGACGGGGTCAGTGGGGAGGAAGAAGAATTTGGGCATGATGGAGAAGTAGATGAAGATGAAGAAGACGAGGATGAGGATGAAGAGGAGGAAGAAAGCAGGAAAGGTGAAAAGAGGAAGAGAGAAACAGATGATGAAGGAGAAGATGATTAAGACCCCAGATACACTGCAAAACAGAACTGTTCAATATTGGTTGGACTGCTCATGGATTTGATAGCTGTTTAAAAAAGAAAAAAAAAAAAAAAAGGTGGCTGCAATACAAATCCCAGGACGCCCACCCACCCAAAGAGCCAAAGAATAGTTCCTGTAACATTCCACCTTCTTCCTTTTAGTCCCTCTTGGTAATCCACCACCAAGCTTGGGGACTTTGCCCCAACAAAATTGTAAGCATTGTTAGGTTTTTTGTGTAAGACTCTTGCTGTAGCATGGATAGCTGTGATTAGTGAGTCAACTGTCTGTGGCTACCAGTCACACCGAGATTGTAACAGCATTTTTACTTTCTGTACAACAAAAAAGCTTTGTAAATAAAATCTTAACATTTTGAAAAAAAAAAAAAAATTGAGCTCTGTGGCTCAATTTCTTTCCTCAGAAGAACTCTGACCAAGTTGACTGATCTTTGGGAGCCCTTTAATAAGCATCTTGGGTCAATTTGCTGCTTATGTTCTACCTAAATAAATTATTTCCATCGAGTAGATGGGAGTTTTTCATGACCTGTTTTTATTTCTTGTTTACAGAGAAAATGACAGGGTGGTCATGGTTAATGGCACCCCCATGGAGGATGTGCTCCATTCATTTGCAGTTCAGCAGCTGAGAAAAAGTGGGAAGATTGCTGCCATTGTAAGTACTGGCTTGGCTTTCGGCTTGCCTCAACAGCATTTTGTTTTTATGCCCAGAAGAAAATTACCGCTTGCTTCTGAGCATTTGACAGAATTACGTAACCTAGGGCCCACTAGCTTCTTGCGTCCTTAGTGCTTTTGGAGGGTGATGTTATGGGTGATGTGAAGATGTGCATAAGCCATCCTTCTGGCCTTTTCTTCGTCCTTCTCCTAAGACCAGCAGTTCTCCTATCCAGGCAGCATTACAATGTCATGACAGTTCTTACTTCAGCATGAATCTAAGAATAAGGACATTCTTCTAAGTACCATAATGCTATTAACATAGTTAAGAAAATTTGTATTTCTGCAGTATGACCTGATATTCAGTGCATATCTCAAGATGTCTTTTATAGTCTTTTCTTCTTCCAGGAACCATGTTTAATCATCTAATTATTTCTTTACTCTCTTTTAATCTAGAAGGGTACCTTTTTCCCCTTGCCTCTCTCCCTCCTTTCACTGTGTGTGTGTGTGGGGGGGGGGGGGGTGGGGGTTTACTGGGAATTGAACTTCCATTGAGCTATAATTCCAGCCCTTTTTATTTTGATTTTGAGACAGGATCTCTCTAAGTTGCCCAGGCTGGTCACAAAGTTGTTATCCTCTTGCCTCAGCCTCATGAGTCACTGGGATTATAAGCATGTGCCTGGCACCCCTTCTTTTTAGTGGTATTAAATTTTGGAAGAGTCTAGGCAGTTACATATAGAATGTCTCACTTTCTGAATCTTCATAATGTAGAGAGTTCCGGCCTCTGAGGCTTTTTGCTCTTGATGGAAGCAGGTATTCTTATTATTCTCCATTTGAGGCAGGGAATGCAGAGCCTTCACAGTTATTGTCTTTTTTTTTTTTTTTTTTCCTTGAATTTGCTGTCTTTATTGCCAGGAACTCTATACCCTTTAGAGATACTACATCAATCTTGCAAAATCCTTCAAAACAATCTTTTTTTTTTTTTTTTCAAGTAGGAACAGTCTCATTTATTCACATAGATCTTGGGGGTCTGCCAACCCTCGGGGGCCTCCTTCAGGCCAGCTTTCAGCCAGATGCGCTTCTTGACATATCATATTCCACACTTTGATTCAAGTGGGTTATGAACTCCCACCTTCACCCCATACACAGATTGCAGAATCACATCAGTTACACATCCATTGATTTACAAATTGCCATACTAGTGTCTGTTGTGCTCCGCTGCCTTTCCCATCCTCCACCCTCCCCCCTCCCCACCTCTCCCCTCACAGTTATTGTCTTATTTTAACTCCCTGAGGTTTTAACTGACCCTGGTTCCTGATGAAAAATCCAAGACTTAGTGCACAGGCAGGGTCATAGCTGATTGTTTAAGAGACAGAGGGTTATTTTTGTTGTTTGTTTGTTGTGGGGGGGGGGGGGGGTTGTTTTTCTTCATTTTCTGATGCTGTGGATGAAGAGGGACCGGTCTTATTGAAACTAGAACCAGCACCCTGACCACCTCCTTCTCTGTGTTGAATTGCGGCTGTCCTGCATCCAACAGTGTCTGTCTTGTTGACAGGTAGTCAAGAGGCCCCGGAAGGTGCAGGTGGCGCCGCTGCAGGGCAGCCCACCCCTCAGTCAGGATGACCGGGCTTTTGAGGCGATGGACGACTTTGATGGTGGAAGTTTCCGCAGCGGGTACAGCGAGAGGAGCCGGCCTAGCAGCCACGACAGGCTAAGCCACAGCTGGGAGGACGAAAGGGGCCGTCCCTACCAGCGGGCATACAGCCGGGAGCAGGACCACAGCCGGGACCGCAGCCGCGGCCGGAGCCTGGAGCGCGGCCTGGACCAGGACTATGGACGCGCCCGAGACCGCAGTCGTGGCCGGAGCCTGGAGCGTGGCCTGGACCACGGCTTTGGACCACCCCGGGACCGCAGCCGTGGCCGGAGCATTGACCGGGACTACGAGCGGGCCTATCACCAGGCTTACGAGCCCGAAGATCGCACCTACAGCCCTCCCACTGAACACCGCCGCAGGGCGCAGCCCGATGCCCGCTACGAGGGCTCCAGGAGCCGCAGCCGAGAGCACCTGCATTCCCGCAGCCCCAGCCCCCAGCCCAGGGCTCGGCCAGAGCACACCGGCCAGTCAGACTCGGACAGGCCCATTGGGGTCCTTCTGATGAAAAGCAAACCTAACGAAGGTAGGTGGAAAACAAGCACTGTGCTACTAGTTATAACCAGCTCTTCCATAGCACCTCCTAGGTGCCCAGCTTTGACCTCAGTGCTGGTCACCTGTTGGCTCATTTAATTCTTACAAACTGTGTCCCGAGGGAGCACCACCTGTACCATTATTTTATAGACAAAGAGACAGGCATAGAAGAGTCCATTGCCCTGTGCAATAGTTTCACCATGGCAAAACCAGGCTCTCCAACTTTGGCTTTGCATTACCAGGCCAGTGGTTCTCTAAGTAGCATATCACCTGGACACTTGTTACAATGCAGATTCTTAGGCCTCAGCCCAGCCCCATGGAATCAGAAACATGGAGTGGCCCTGGGGCCTGCAGGTAGTGGGCTTCTCAAGCTAGAGAAACCAAGAGAGAAGACAGTACTCCAGCGCTTCTTGATTTTCTGTTCTATGCCAGGAGCTATGCTGGATAAATATTCTCTTATTTAATCCTTATAAGAACCCTGTGTGGAAGGAGGTTTTATTCTAGTGCTGTAGGTCAGGAATACCATGATACAGGGAGGTGTTTGGGTAGATCTGTGGTGGAGGTGGTCTCTGCCACATCCATTTTATCACATCCAAGAGGCATACTCTATATTGCAGCTAGAGAAGCAGTTAACACCTGGAGTTCATAGGTGGAGATTCTGAGACTCAGATGGGGAAGCAACTTGCCCGTCTTGAAGCCAGTATGTAGATGATGGAGCTAGAACTCAAACTCCATCCCTTGGGAGTAGCTGATAGGAGATCAGTAGGTGAGTGAACAGGGCTTGAGAGCCCATTGTTGAGCTAGTCCTAGCATCAGTACTTGTCTTCTGACTTAAAATTTCTTCTAACATATCTCCTTTTGCTCTCCAATGGTTATTTCTAGGGAAAAAAAGATGAAAAATGCCCCCACCCCCATGCAAAGTGAAAGTGAAAGACCTCTTGCTTTTCAGTTTGGGGATTTGCATTTAAATAGCCTGCCAGATGAGAGGGCTTGTTTTCTCTTAATTTTTCATAAAGGGTTGAGTTATATAACCAGGTGCCTATTGAAATAACTGAAGAATAATGTGAGGGGCTGAGTGGGGTTCAGGGTAAGAAAATAAAGCTGAAAGCTGAGAACGCATCATCCTGAGGAAGGTGCATCTTAGGTGTAATGATTTCACAGAATTTTTATAACTCTTGTGAGGAGGTGATCATTCAAGAACCCTCAAGCAGAATAAGAACCACCCTGTATCTAGATTGACATATGGGATGTAGAGAAGTTTTGAGAGTGAGAATATGATAAGAGACACCTCTTTAAGAGTCTGACCCTATGCTTTGGGGCATGCACCCAGGATCTTAAGTTCCTGAATGCACTGCTTTTCAAACTTCTCCTTTCTTTCTCCTTTTGCTCTTCCTCCACCTTCTTCCCTCTTTTCCTAGCTCCTGCCATGAAAATAACTATTTCTTGTAAACAATCATAGAAGCACCTCTGTCAAAAACTTTAACAGGAGTTTGGTGGAACATTACATTTTCAGTGTGGTGTACCTGAGAATTCCATTACATTAAATTTTTAAAATACTGGTTGCAGCCCTCTAAGTTGATCTCAAACCCCACAATTTAGAAACACATTATCCTAAGAGACTGCCCCCATCATGACCAGTCTTAGTAAATCAAGGGGAAAAAAAGGGGGGTTATGCTTCTGTGTTCATACAGTGTTTTTGCTCTTTCTTGACCATTTTGTTCCCCAAATCAGGAAATCACTATATAAACAATTCCACTTCTGTGTGTGTGTGTGTGTGTGTGTGTGTGTTTTGTGGGGGGAGCATTTGCTGGGGACTGGACCCAGAGCCTCACATGTGCTAGGAAAGTGCTCTCCCACTGAACTACAGCCTCAGCCCTCCACTTTAAAAGAATTTTTTTCTCCCTTTGCTAAGATTATGTAATAACTTAGCTTTCACTGTCTAGTGTGCATAAGAATAGTGTGCATAAGAAGTTCAACAATAGGTCAGACATACATTTGATTAAGGAAAAAATACCATCAATTCATAGGCTCATTTCATTGGGCACCATATCACCTTGCATATCAAGGTCTTAGAAGCTGGTCAGCTGATTTCTTCATTTAAGAAATGCCCACACATACATTAACAAATCTATTTGCAAAGGTATAACAGAAGTGCAATTTTTAAGAGGATAGAGAGAGGGGGTATTGTTATATAAGAAAGAAATTATTCAGTCAGACTTGTCAGCCTTGTGTCCGGGGCTGCGATGCTGTTTGACCAGTAGAGGGTCATCACCCATGAAGGTAGAGGAGTCCTCACCCTTCCTGTTTGGTATTCTTATCAGCTCCTTGTGTATGTGAGGGATTCAGGTTTACTGTAAACCATCAAAAACTTAATTTTTAAATTACTTCATAACTTTCCTGAATTAGAGAAAGTTACTGTTTTATAATAAGATTTTCTTTCAGAACAGTGGTGATAATTTTTTAAAAAAATGAATGTATTTGTTTTCAGACTTCTAGATTGTGATGGCTTCTTAAAGTAACCAAAATTCATCCTTAAAATGCATGTTTTTACAGGTTTAATAAGGAAAATCAGAATAGTTTGAAGAACATTTAAAATATTTAAAAATACACATCCTTAGTTAATGTGTTATTTTCATTTGATAGTAATGCCAAGTGCATGAACACCCAGAGCTCTGCTGGCTTTAGTTGAATTCTTTCAGAATTACCTTGCCTGTCTTACTGCTTTTCTTCACACACTGAACTTTCAGTGCATGACCCTGTACCGGCTACATTGTTATAGAAGGGAGTATTTCCCCTTTTTCCTTTGTGGGGGCAGCCTCATTGTCAGCAGAAGGTCTTATTAAGATGTTGCTGAGTTGCTTTTTTGTTTCCAACATTTTATTTGAAAAGTATTAATTTTGTAGCTTACACCTATAGCCTTCACCCAGTTCTACCAGTTGTTAACATTTTGCTACATTTGCTTTCTAAGTCCTTTTCCTCCCTTTTTTCTTTGAACCCCCTTGAAAGTAAGTTATAAGCAGCTTTACTCATTACCAGTAAATATTCCAGCAGGTGAAATCTCTCAAGAATAAGAACATTCTCCTATATCACAATGCCACTGTCACACTTAAGGAAATAAATATTAATAGCCCGTCATATATTATAATATAGCTCATTTTGGAATTAGTCCAAAATATCGTGACCCATCCCCTCCCCTGTGCTGGATCAAGGATCTATGGAGTTCATGCACTGCCTTTGGCTTTTATGTCTCTTTTTAAATGTGGAATAATTCCTCTGCCTCTTTTTTTTTTTTTTTTTTTTAAATGACTTTGTTTTTTTTTTTTAAATAAGAGTCTAGGCCCATAACAATAGAACATTCCACATGATATTAATTTTTTGTAATTTTTTAAATAGTAGCTAGGCTGACATATGTGTGTATTTATGTTTTTGTTTCTAGAGTATGGTCTCCGGCTGGGGAGTCAGATCTTCATCAAGGAGATGACCAGAACAGGTCTGGCAACTAAAGATGGCAATCTTCATGAAGGGGACATAATTCTCAAGGTGGGTGGATGAGGACAGAGAACAGCTGTGTTCCTAAATGCATTCCTAGTATGCAACTCCATGTTCAAATGCCAATAAAGAAAAACTTGGCTGTGCTGGGAATCAATAGGAAGAGCAGCACAGCAAGATGATTTTATCAGAAAAACCAGACTCAGGGCTGTAGGTATAGTACTATGGTAGAGCACATGCCAGGCCCCGAGTCCCATCCCCAGCACTGGGGGGTGGAAAAAAAAGAAAAAGAAGAAAAACCAGAGAACTAACCTATATAATGTATCCATTTGCTCATTGCTCTTTTGGACTACTTTAATGTCACTTACTTACTTTATTTATTTATTTACTTATTTCCCCCTAGTTGTAGATAGACAGAATACCCTTATTTTATTTGTTTATTTTTATGTGGTGCTGAGGATCAAACCCATGCCTCACCCATGCTAGGCAAGCGCTCTGCCACTAAGCTACAGCCCCAGCCCCTTTATTGTCACTTTTTAAAAGAAACCTCAAAAAATACTCTCTTTTCCTGTTGACTTAAAGTTGAGGTTTTTACTCCTTAAAATAAGGAAAGATGAAAGGGAGAGCGGTAGTATATGAATGCTGGTTAAATTTAATAGTTATCGTAAACCTCTCCAGTGAGGAAACATGTTCCAGTAGTAAACCAAACAATTGTCTTAAGCTTGCAAGTTAAATAAATTAGCAGAGTATACTGCAGCTTTTACATGGTTGCATTTGGGAGCCAGGTATTCAGGATTACGTTTAATTTAAAAGATAATTATTGTTTATTTATTTTTACTCAATGCATTATAGTTATATATAAAATTGGAATGCATTGTTGAAGACCAGTAGAATAGGGGAAGGGGCTCAGGGAAGGGAGGAGGGAAGGGAAGGAAATAGTACTGGTATTGAAATGGAGAAAATTATGTTATGTGCATTTATGAATATGTCAGCATGAACCCCATTTTTTTAATAACTTTATTTTATTTATTTATTTTTATGTGGTGCTGACGATCGAACCCAGGCCTTGTACATGCGACACGAGCGCTCTACCGCTGAGTCATAACCCCAACCCCAAACCCATTATTATGTATAACTAGTGCACTAATTTTTTTAAGTGTTATTTTCTTAAAGGAGTAATTTCCATTTTTCTTATTAACAGTTTTGGTTTTTAAGTTTGCTATGTCTGTAATGGAATGTGAAATTCTGGAGAGTAAGAATTATGGATTCTCTACACAGGACGTGCAGATTGACTTTTTTATGCATAATATACCTGCAACATAATAAACAAAAATATTCATTGCCTAAGGTTAAAAAAAAAAGATTTTGTTTTTTTATTCAATGATCCTAAGTCCAAGTCTGTCTGAGTATCTGAACAAAGCCCTTATGTTTGTAGAAGGAAAACATATAAATTGCATGCTTAGCTGTGAAAATTCTATTGTATATAGCATTATTATTTTTCATAAATACAGATCAATGGAACTGTCACTGAGAACATGTCTTTAATGGATGCACGAAAATTGATAGAGAAGTCCAGAGGAAAACTCCAGCTCGTCGTGTTGAGAGATAGCAAGCAGACCCTCATCAACATCCCCTCGCTAAATGACAGTGACTCTGAAATAGAAGGTAAGGAAAGAGGATGGTGGGGAGCTTAGCCAGAAGTCAGTAGGACCATTGGCCTTGCATTCTCATCCGGTTAGCAAAGCTAGCCAGTCAGAAGTTGAATTTCCAGTGAAGTGTTCTCTTTTAAACTTTAATTTCAAAAGTTAAGTGTTCAGTTGTTATTTGTTTATTAAGTGTCTACTGAAATTAGGTTTCCAGTATGAAATTCTGGTGCACTTGTAAACTCCCAGAGGACTCTTAATTAAGCCACTGAAATCAAAACCTGTTAGTTGAAAAAAAAAAAAATGTATACAAGCTAGGGGAAGGTGGCATGCACCTGTAGTCCTAGCCACCTTGGAGTGTGAGGTGGGAGGATCACTTGAGCCCAGGAGCCTGGGCAACATACACCCTGATTCAAGAAAAGAAATACATGTCTGAGCAGTTCGGAGAACTAACCTGTATAATGAATCAATTTGCTCATTGCTCTTTTCCTGCATTTGCTTGTGTGTTTTTTTAAAAGTGGCTGTTAGTATTTCCAGTAGAGAAGGCAATCTGGAGTATAACTAACAGATGTGCACACTATAATAAAGAATCAGTCCAGATAGCTTGATATTGTGGTGTTCAATCCAGGTCACCTTTTCTCTTTTTAAAAGTTATATTCATTTCTCTGATATGAATTATATATATGCCAAAAGGAGTCATATTCTATTCTGCTTGACCATTCGCTATTATTTTTGTGCAGAAAAATTGAGAAAATGTTAAGTTTCTAAGATTTTAAACAAGCTTTTGGTTTTTAAAAAAGAATTTCAAATAACCCAATCAACAAATGGGCCAAGGACCTGAACAGACACTTCTCAGAGGAGGACATGCAATCAATCAACAAATACATGAAAAAATGCTCACCATCTCTAGCAGTCAGAGAAATGCAAATCAAAACCACCCTAAGATACCATCTCACTCCAGTAAGATTGGCCGCCATTACGAAGTCAAACAACAACAAGTGCTGGCGAGGATGTGGGGAAAAGGGTACACTTGTACATTGCTGGTGGGATTGCAAATTGGTGCGGCCAATTTGAAAGCAATATGGAGATTCCTTGGAAAGCTGGGAATGGAACCACCATTTGACCCAGCTATTCCCCTTCTCAGACTGTTCCCTAAAGACCTTAAAAGAGCGTACTATAGGGATACTGCTACATCAATGTTCATAGCAGCACAATTCACAATAGCTAGACTGTGGAACCAACCTAGATGCCCTTCAATAGATGAATGGATAAAAAAAAAATGTGGCATTTATACACAATGGAGTAGTTCTCTGCACTAAAAAATGACAAAATCATGGCATTTGCAGGGAAATGGATGGCATTAGAGCAGATTATGCTAAGTGAAGCAAGCCAATCCCTAAAAAACAAATGCCAAATGTCTTCTTTGATATAAGGAGAGCAACTAAGAACACAGCGGGGAGGAAGAGCATGAGAAGAAGATTAACATTAAACAGAGACATGAGGTGGGAGGAAAAGGGAGAGAGAAGGGAAATTGCATGGAAATGGAAGGAGACCCTCAGGGTTATACAAAATTACATATAAGAGGAAGTGAGGGGAAAGGGAAAAAAAAACAAGGGAGAGAAATGAATTACAGTAGATGGGGTAGAGAGAGAAGATGCGAGGGGAGGGGAGGGGAGAGGGGATAGGAAGGGGATAGGAAAGGCAGCAGAATACAAAAGACACTAGTATGGCAATATGTAAAAACGTGGATGTGTAACCCATGTGATTCTGCAATCTGTATACGAGGTAAAAATGGGAGTTCATAACCCACTTGAATCAAATATATGAAATATGATATGTCAAGAGCTATGTAATGTTTTGAACAACTAATAATAAAAATTAAAAAAAGAATTTCTTTTTAAAACATAAAAATTTGGGGCTGGAGTTGTGGCTCAGTGGTAGAGCACTTGCCTAGCACATGTGAGGCACTAAATTTAATTCTCAGCACCACATAGAAATAAATGAATAAAATAAAGGTCCATCGACAACTAAAAATATATTGTAAAAAATAATTTAAAACTTAAAACTTAACTTGATCTCCAGCATATCAAAAGTCTGGTCCTGTGGTCACTGCCAAGAGTGCAGTTCAGGAAAGCAAAAGGATTGTGAGGATTAACCCCAGTATCCTAGGAGTTTGCAGGTTATTTCCATGCTACTCAGAGTGTGGTCCCCAGCACCTCAGCAGCATTAGTGTCATCTGGGAGATTGATAAAACTGCAGAATCTCAAGCCCTACCCCAGAACAACTGTGCCTCAGGAAGATCCCTAGGTGATCTGAATACACATTAAGGTTTGAGAAGCACTCATCTATTTGGTGGGAATGAGCAAATATGTAATACAGTACAGATGGACTTCCAGGTCCTTGGTTCTGTATCCTCAGATTCAGTCAACCACAGATTGACTATATGTGGAAAAAACAATTCCATCAGGTTCCAAGAAACAAAACTTGAATTGTCTCATACTGAGCACTGTGCTGAATCCACATAAATGTAGTAATATTTGGGTGCACTCTGCCAAAGCCTCTTGCCATTTCACATACTCAATCTCTCAGTACTCATTGCTTAATACCTCTTTTTCTTGTTATTTTGCTATTTACCTAGCGTTTATATTGTATCAGGCATTATAAGTCATCTTTAGATGTATCTTTAGAGTATACAGGAAGATGTGTGTAGGTTACTTGCAAATACTGTGCCATTTTATATAAAGGACTTAAGCATCTGCAGATTTTGGCTGTAGTGAGCCTGAAACTGTTGTCCTGCAGATGTTGAGAATTGACTATAACTGAATTTTCATCCTTCAGAAGCAGTTATAAAGGAATGTGGGATGAAAGAGAAATGTACAGTTCTGAATCTGACTTCCTCTATATTAATTTTTAATGCCCTTCCCTTAAGGTTAACTTCTTTTTTTTCCTGCGTCTCTTACATTTCCCATATCTCCTACTGAGGAAATAGCATAATTTCTGATACATATCTTAAATATTTTACTATAAAAGTCTTTTTTTTTTTTTTTTTTGAAACAGACGTCTCAGAAATAGAGTCAAACCGATCATTTTCTCCAGAAGAGAGACGCCAGCAGTATTCTGATTATGATTATCATTCCTCCAATGAGAAGCTGAAGGAAAGGCCAAGGTGAGATGACATGTATTTCCCTTGCACACTGGGGAGCTACACACATGCATGTTTGTGAATCTGTTACCTCTGAGATGTTAACATAACCTATGCTTTAGTTCAAGGGAAGACACGCCCAACAGATTGTCCAAAATGGGCGCCACACCCACTCCATTCAAGTCCTCTGGGGACATTGCAGCTGCAGTTGTCACAGAAACCAACAAGGAACCCAGATACCAAGAGGAACCGGGTGAGGCTTTAAGACCACTCATTTTGGGGGAGACTGTGGTTTGAATCCAGGATATTGTACATGCAAAGTGCATCCTGCACCACTGAGCTAGACCCCCAACTTGAGACATTCATTGTCAACACTTGAGTTTAGAATCATGAGATTCAGAGAGTGGTTTGAAAGGGAGAGAGAAATTATATATATAAAAAAAAAAAAAACCTCATTCTTAAAATGGTTGAGTCCATCCTCTTTTTATGCCATCAAAATTGATCATATTTGACATATTTGATGGGTGATAGTCCTCTTGCTTTCATCCATGATCCCAAACTCATCACCCTAACTCTGCTACCCTGCAGTTATCATCCTGTTTTGTGTGCATAAATATTTATACCTGGGAAATATGTAGTCTCATTATATGATCTTTTAGTTCTAGAAAATATTGTCATCTTGTACATGTGCATATTGCATTTTGGTGGTTTGTTTCTCTTCTTACAATTTTGAGAAAGTATTAGGACCTGCTAATGCATCAAAATTAAGTTTTACCATAACCCATTATGTCCCACCATTCTAGATGTGGGTACCTATAAAAGCTTAAGTGGCAAAAATACCATTTATGGTAACTTTGAAATAATATTTGAATATTTGTTATGTTTGCACAGTTGAACTTTAGAAACTGTCTCTTGCTCATCACATCAGTAACAATGGATGTTTTGTATTCCACAGTTCCTCAACCCAAACCAGCTCCAAGAACTTTTCTTCGTCCTAGTCCTGAAGATGAAGCAATATATGGGTATATATCCCTCCCCCCCTTTGTGGATAGACACCATACCTTTATTTTTGTGTGGTGCTAGGGATCAAACCCAGTGCCTCACAAATGGTAGGCAAGTGCTCCACAGCTGAGCTACAACCCCAGCTCCTCTTTCTCTTTCTTTTTTCTCCTGTTTTCTTTTCCACACTGCTAATCTGCTTAACTGAAATCCAGAAGAATAGGTTTCTTTACCAGCTACCTTTAACCAACCTGTACTGCTGATATTTATGAGAGTGGAATCAGTTTTTTGAAAAGCAACTTGTGGAACTAGGTGAACTTGGTGATGATGATGTTCCCTGCTTGCCTGCCTACTTCTCCAGAATATTATTTTGAATATTTGCTTTTGGCAGAGGCATAGCCCCAAACAGGTGAAGCATTGTTAAACTGTGGTGCCTCAGTAGTGGCTGCAGTGACATGATGATCCCATTGTGGGGAAGGGAACGGAGGTAACCAGGGCTCTGCACTTGATAATGAGCCTCTGATTCAGTGGTGTCAGGAGCAGCAGCTGTATTAGGACCACCTTCCATGGACCAGCTTCTATGTCTTCATTTGACAAAAGCTGAGGATACCTGCAGGTTTTCTTTTAAAAGAATCCTAAACTGAGTGTTGGGTAGCTTAATTTTGGCCCTAATTCTCCCCTTTGTTTGCTTTCTCATCTTAAATAAGCTGATGCAAACATTTTATATTTCACCTTCTTCAGTAATGTGAGCCTGCTGGTATTCACCTAACTGTCCCAAGGAGGATAAAATCATAGACTAGATGAGAAAAATGAGATGAATGTCACCTATAAATTGCTCTGTAGATAGACAAAATTAAATCTCTCATCTGCTAGTGTGCCCTCTCCCCTCCCCTTTGAAAAATGATCTCTCATCTCTTTTTTTTCTGGAACCAAACTTGTTGCAGCCCTAACACCAAAATGGTGAAGTTCAAGAAGGGAGACAGCGTGGGCCTCCGGTTGGCTGGTGGCAACGACGTTGGGATATTTGTTGCTGGCATTCAAGAGGGCACATCTGCAGAGCAGGAAGGCCTTCAGGAGGGAGACCAGATTCTGAAGGTGAGGGAAGCGCAGCCCTGTTTCCATAAGTCTCTTGCTGAGTGGGCTTTTCTGGGTGTTCTTTCACAAGGAGGTGGTCATCTTGTGAAAACAGTCAGTGACAAGTGTGTTGATGTTCAGCCCTGAGGCCTTGTCTCACATAGGCCCTGTCTCATCTGCCCTAGAATCCAAAACTCATCCCTTGGTCTACAAGAATTTATAATGTTTAAGACACTATGAATTTAGTAGTTTGATTAATGAAAAAAGTCAAGAGTCTAATTAAGAACCTGCAAGAAAGAAATTTCAATGGGTCTTGTGACCTAATTGAATAGGCATGACTATTAACATCAGACCCTGTTATCTGAGCCCTGCTCCAGCCTCTCAGTAATTCTGTGACCCTGGCTCACCCTGAGATGTGGTTTCCAGGTCTCTTGAGTGGAGATGAGAATACCTACCTCTCAGGAACCCTGGCAAGATTAAAAGAGAGTACTTCTAAGGCCCAGATCACAGTTCCTGGCAGATGACACACAGCTGCCACTCAGTATGTTGTTCACTTTTAAAACCATCCAGGAAAAGAATTCCTGGTTCATAACATATCGGTAGAATTCTTTTCTGTTTCTCTTTATTCTTTTTGCAGTACTAGGGATTAAACCCAGAGCCTTGGGCCTGCTTCTCAAGCACTCTACCCCTGAGCTACATTCCTAGCCCAACATATTGGTAGTTTTATTAAAATTGCTGTATGTTTGTATAATCTGTTGGTGTTAAACAATTAAAAAATAACTCAATTTTGATATTTAATGCCAAGTATGCCGTTGCTATAGACATATAGCATGCTAGAGAACTGTCTTCATTGAAATTTTGGAATTTCTTTCCATTTTTGTTTTTTGTTTGTTTGTTTGCTTTTTCCTTGTTAATTTTAGTGGAAAGCCCATATGTCATTTACTGAGGGTCTGGTAAGTGCTTCTAGGCTCAAAGGAGAGGAGAGAGAAATTCACAGAACCCTAGAGAAAACAGCAAAGTACAAAAGCAGATGGCTGCTTCCTTCTCAGCACTTGGCTCCATGGCAGTAGTTCAGATTTCATTTCTGGAGTAGGGGAAGGGCAGACCTTGATCATGAGCTTTGCTAAAGCTTTCCAGTGAAACTCTAGACCCTCCTTGGCTCCAGTTGGGCTCCTAGAAGACTTGCGACTTGAGTGAACTCGCTACTTGAGTGTAGCACATGATCCTAGGAAACATGCGCCACCAAATGCTGCTGATAAAAATCCTGTCCAGGTGCCAGCGCATACCACTTTACGCTCAGTAAATATGCTAATAAAGAAGAAGCATAATTCCTAACTGCTGTGAAGCCATCGGGTGTCTGCTGGAGATCTGGAGCTTTTGCTCTTTAAAGTTCAAGGATAAAATAAATCTGTCCTCTTTGTGTTGGGGAGTTGGTGGTGGTGGGGAAGCAGTGTTTTCTAAATTTTCTAGTGAGCTCATATAGGGATTTGATCGTCCCACCTCCCTGTTTGTCATTATTAAAGACAGGGAGGGTCACTTAATGGGTAAAAAGTCATATTACTCAGCATTTATGTTTAAGAAATGTTTGTTTCCTGATCTCACCCTGGTGACAAGGAAGAAACTGTGGGAACTGGCTTCTTTTGCAGTAATCTTGTATGGGGAGGTCAGGTGGTGAGGTGGTCCTCTTTCAAGGGTAGGAATAAATTTTCTATGGACTACAAAAGGAGCCCTGAGCTCTGCAAAAGGGTGAAAAAGATTGTGTTTGCCTATCAGGGCAGAGAAGCTGCTGCACAATGGTGAGCTATAGCTGATACAGGATCCTTTAGGCTCACAGCAAACCGGACTGGACCCTGTGGACTACTAAATAGCTCATGAAAGAGGATATTTATCAGAAAGGACGGTGTGGTCTAACCCTCAAAGCGCAAAAGTGCTGCCCTGGCTCTTTTTACTTTCATTTGTTTCCGTGCTGCTTTTCATGCCCAAACTGAATCTGGGAGGTGAACTGTGTCCATAGACTAATGGCATTTTTCAGTTGGAGGGTTTTTAAGTGTGGCTCTGTTCTGTTTTGTAAAGGTGACAGATTGATGTGCGAAATGAAAGCAAGAGTGGACTATGCTACTGTGTAATGTCTTACCCAAAACAGAAATATGTTTATTTTTTCCTGCTTGGCTTGACCCATCTCATTGCTTATTATTTATCTGGTATAGTTGTCATTTATCTTTCAGAAACCTTTATGGGATGGAAGTGAGGGGAAAAATTTTGTTTGGTTTTAAACCAATGAATCCATCTCACGTGATTTCATTTTGACCTTTGTGGGGTTTTTACCTGATTGATGTTTAGCCTCATGTGGCCATAGAGATGGGCAGAGGGACTTCTGATATCCTCCCCCTGACCCTGTGGCCCTGGTTTATTTAAGTAAATAAATATAAGCATCTACAGCTCATATAAAATCATATATGTAGCCGTACAGAAATACAGAAACCACATGAGGAAAGATTAGCACCAAAGTTCAGTGATCCCTATTTGGGGACAGAGAGGTGGGAATGACAGTATTTTAAATAATAAATATTGTTACAAAGGAAAAGTTAGCTTGCTTGCTCTAGCAAATCACATTTTTATTTATTTTTTTTCTTTTTTAAAGCACCAGATTAGTTTCAGTCTAATGTCTACTTTCACTTAATCACACATTTGGCCTTAATTAAGGCCCTAAATCAATGATAGTTTTTTCCCCAGTAATAAAGCATTTCTTTTATGATTGAAAGGATTTTGTAGCTCTCAATAACTGAAGAAAATATTTCATAGGAATTCTGTATTCTGTATCTTTTCATTTCTATAAAATATTATTAAAACATCCAACACTTCAAGATAATTTTAAGGATACAGAATTCTGGTTTCAAAATATTTTTTCTTGTTATTACTTTTCAGTTTTATTTTCTCTCTAATTTATTTTCCAAACGCCATTTATAGTGATCCCTATTCAATCACTGTTGAATAAATAGGGGCTCTTTGCCAGAAATAGGTGTGAGCCAGAAGCTTATGTTATATAAGGCCATGTATTAGACTAATGGTCTTTCATAAGGCTGATGCTCTTCAATTCATAAACGCCCTTTGATTTCATAAACACAGGTTAGATGTCTTTCAGGGATAGGATCTATAGGAGAAGGATGGATTTGATCAGAATCCTTACTTGTGGATTTTATTTGAATTGATTTAAACATGGATCACCAAGCTCCTTTACCACAGACCCCACTGCTCCCTATTACACATTACCTTCCTGGCCAACTCTATGGGAAACTACAGGAGAGGAGGAGGCAGACATAGCCAAAAGATGGTCCTGGCTGATCCAGTGACAAATCCTTGGTCTAGTGGTTTATTTCTAATTGGATTGGCAATTTGGGGAGTCAAGAAAGTTAGTGGTGCCCATGCAGCTCAGGCCCATGGGGAGGTGCTAGGGAGGGTATGAGTAGAGAGACACTAAGGACCTTGGTACGTCCTTGTTTTGCTTTGGAAGACTGACGAAAACAGACAGACTAGGTCACTTGACGCCTAACTATGAAATCTCTCTCCTCCTGTTTTTCCTTTCTGTCAGGTGAACTCGCAGGACTTCAGAGGGCTGGTCCGGGAAGATGCTGTACTCTACCTGTTAGAAATCCCCAAAGGTGAAATGGTGGTCATTTTAGCTCAGAGCCGAGCTGATGGTGAGCATGTTTGGTCATTTAGTTTACTTGGGGGAGGTGGGAAGGATGAAAGATGTGTCTTGGAGCCAGAATAGGAAAATACAGGAGTTAAAAAATTGAAATGGATCTTGACGCCTGATCCCAGAGTCACAGGTATATATGGAGAAAATTTGAGTGCTGCTTAACTTTGTACAAAAATGTTTCCTCCCCATCTACTGAAATAATTTCATTGGTATGTCAGTTTGGAATTAAACTTCTTTTCTGAACAGTGATAGGCCATTAAGTTTTGCCTGGAGTTATTACTGATTTTCCATATAACAGGTAACCAGAGCCACACCAGCTGTTGGCTCCCACCTTGACCAATGTGACAAGTTGCTTTGTCTTCTTGGGCCTGGTTGTCATCTGTGAAGTGGGGGCCACCATAGTCTCTTCCCTGCCCATTTCAGAGGGTTGATTGACAACTGTATTAGTCAGGGTTTTCTAGAGAAACAACTCATGGGAGACATTGGAACCAGTAGCATTTATTATAAGAAATTGGCTCATAGGATCATGGAGGCTGGCATATCCCAAGATCTGCAGGGTGAATTAAAGATAGAGACCCAGCAGAGCCAGCTGGAAGGTCTAACCAGGACAGTATGGTTTCATTACAGAGGCAGGGGAGAGCTGAGTTCTCAGTTTGAAGGCCACCAAGAGAGAAGAGCAGTGCCCTCTTAACTTGAGGGTGGGTCTCATTTTTTGCTCTATTCAGGGCTTTAGCTGATTGGATAAGGCCCACCCACATTAGTGAGGACAATATGCTTTATTCAGTCTATCCATTTAAATAATTACTCTCATCCCAAAATACCTTCCCTCTAGAAACATGTAGAAACACCCTCTAGAAACATTTGGAATAATGTTTTGACCAAATATCTGGGCATCCATAGCCCAGGTTATTTGAGACATAACATTAACCATCTCAGCAGCTCATGTAGTTGGTTATACATCCTTCTTCCTGTTAGAGCTGCGATTCCTGTAGGCCCATGCACTGGGTTCACTGGATGCAGGGATGCAGGGAAGGTGAAGTGGGTAATCAGAGATGGGAAAAACCAGAACTCAGGAAAGATCTTTAAAACAAATGCAGTAAACCATGCTTTTGCCTTTCAGTCTATAGAGACATCCTGGCTTGTGGCAGAGGGGATTCATTTTTTATAAGAAGCCACTTTGAATGTGAGAAGGAAACTCCACAGAGCCTGGCCTTTACCAGAGGGGAGGTCTTTCGAGTGGTAGATACCCTGTATGACGGCAAGCTGGGTCACTGGCTGGCCGTGAGGATCGGGAATGAATTGGAAAAAGGCTTGATCCCCAACAGAAGCAGGTACCTCACATTGCACATTTCCACACACCCCTTTAATGCCCCCCATCCCACCCCCCACAAGCCCATAGAATCCCTCCCTTCCTGTGTTAGTCAGCTTTCTGTCACTGTGACAAAAATGCCCGAGAAAAACAACTTCAAGGAGGAAAGATTTATTTTGGCTCATGATTTCAGAAGTTTCAGTCATTCAATTGACCCCATCACAGTGGCCTTGAAGTGAGACAGAACATCATGGAGGGGAGCACGTGGTGGAGTAAAGCTGTCCACCTCTTGGCAGTTGGGAGAAAGGATGGGATTAGGGACAAGATACGACCCTTTAAGAACGTGCCCCAGTGACCTACTTTCTCTAACTAGGCCCCACTTCCTAAAGTTTTCCCCACTTCCCAGTAGTGCCACCAGCTTGTGACCAACCCTTCAGCACATGAGCCTGTAGGGGACTTTCCAGGTCCAAACTATAAACCCCTCAAATGACCTCTCCCACATGACCTCATCTACTTGTTTTGAGAATGTGGCCTGGAACTGGAAATAGCCACCAGCCTGTTTGCAATGAGTGTCTTGCATCACTTGCTTGGTTGTTGGGCTTGACTGGGTTTAACAGTTTCCCAAAGAATGTCCACCGCCTTGCACAACATACGCAGGAGGGACTGAGTGGTTGTACTGTCTCTGGTCTCCTTCCTTGGGAGAGGCTATGTACCCCAGCGAATGCCTGTTAGTTGGTTCAGGGATCTAGGAAAGATACCTGTATTTTAGTAGGAGTTCCAGTTGTATTTACTTACATACCAGGTGAGCCAAATTTAGTGCTTTTAATCACTGAGCTCCTTCTGGTGGGTTTCATTGAGAACCCTGCCTTTTTTTGGCCTCTGCGGGGAAATGAAGGTCCCCATGTCCTGTCCTCCCCCTTAGAAACATCTTCATTGTCAAGCTGAATCTTCTCTAATCCAAGTTATTAAGCAAAACTGACTAGATCTGGTTCATGACGTGCACATGTGCCACATGTCCTGGCTCTAGAGATTCATTTCCCATGCTTTCTTCTCTCAGAGCTGAACAGATGGCCAGTGTCCAGAATGCCCAGAGAGACAATGCTGGGGACAGGGCAGATTTTTGGAGAATGCGTGGCCAGAGATCTGGGGTGAAGAAGAACCTAAGGAAGAGTCGGGAAGACTTAACAGCTGCTGTGTCTGTTAGCACCAAGTTCCCAGCTTACGAGAGGGTCTTGCTGCGAGAAGGTGAGGAGGCCCCGTGGGGCCAAGAAGTGATCCACCTGGGCTCTGTGCTTGTTCTCCTTCACTTCCAGGCTGCAGTGGTGAAGTCCTAACTTACCTACATCACTTACACCAAAGGCAGGGTGTACAGTTGGAATCATACACTAACATGGAGCCTGACTTCCAAAATATTACTGTTCAGATTCCTCAGTGGAGGCAAGTTTGCACGACCAAAAAAAAAAAAAAAACTTTTAATACCACCAGTCCAAAGTTTTTATATGTTACCCATAGAAACGTTTATCTTTAAAAATGGTGGGGATAGTGAAGTCACGTCCTTTAGAAAAGAACCGGGTTCAATTGTGGGTTCAATTTCTCTCATTTAATTAGGTTATTTTCAAAAGCCTATGTAATCCTTTTGCTTCTTACCTGAACAGTGAGGCACATGTGTTATTTTAATGGCCTGTCTTGTTTCATTTCAGCTGGTTTCAAGAGACCTGTGGTTTTATTCGGCCCCATAGCAGACATAGCAATGGAAAAGTTGGCCAACGAGTTACCTGACTTGTTCCAAACTGCTAGTAAGTCTATCAGTGATGTTTTCCAGAATTTTTATTTTGAAAAATTTCTAACATACATTAAAATCAAAAGAATAATGAACATTCTCATATCTTTCACCTGACCACTGATTGTTATAAACATTTTGCCACATACACTTTCTTTCCTCTATAACCTGTCCATGGAAACACACACACACACACACTCACTCACTCCCATACTTATCCTTCTGAACCATTTAGAAGTTTAGAACATTATAACACTTTATTTCTAAATTATATGCATGAATCTCCTAAGAACAGGCACATTCTTTTATGCAGTCACAATACCATTTCCATCTCAGTGGCCAAGAAATTGAACACTGATACAGTGATATTCAGGTTGAGAATCCCTAGTCTGAAAGTCTAAGATCCCAAATGCTCCAAAATCTGCAGCTTATTGAGCACGAACATGATGTCACAAGTTGAAGATCTCACATCTGACCTCCTGTGACAAATTACTAAAAATACTGCACAAAATTACCTTCAGTTTATGTGTAAAAGATGAAACAAATGAATTTTGGTTTTAGACCTGTATTCTATTTCCTATAAATTTTTATTATGTATATATATGCAAATATTTAAAATCCCAAGCCCTTCTGGTTCCAAACATTTCTGATAAGCAAAACTCAACCTGTATGTTATATATAGTCAATTTTTCATATTTCCTCAGTTGTCCCAATTATGTCCCACTTCCAAGGATCATGCATTACATTTGATTTTAATTTTAATTTTTTTTGTGGTTTTTTTTCTTTCTTTTTTTTTTTTTTAACCTTACTTGGAACATTGACAGTTTGAAGAGTCCAAACCAATTGTCTCATAGAGCATTCCCTATCAGATTGGCCTAACCATTTCCCCATGGTTATCTTTCTGATAAACAAGTATTAGGATCCTTCCCACTGCATCATATGAGGAGACACTTAATGTCCGGTGTGTCCCATTGTTGTTGATGCTAGATTGGGACATTGATTGTCACTTATTTCTAAAATTAGCTCCACTTTGCTTTTGCAGAAACAGAACCTAAAGATGCAGGATCTGAGAAATCCAGTGGAGTAGTTCGGTTAAATACTGTGAGGCAAATTATTGAGCAGGTGAGAAAATTCACTGGAATGGCATGTTATGAGAAAGAATGGGATCATGGTTTGCTACAATCTCTTTTAGGATAAAAATCTAGTTTAATAATTATTAATCATTAATGGTAAAAGTTAATGTAAATGCAAGCTATTTCACTGTGAGGAAACCATTCATTATTTTGTGGCAATAATGATTTGTCTCTTCAGACTTCTCAGCATTATACCAAATAACCTGTGAAGAGTAGTCCCCATTTATCCAAGGGAGATGCCTTTGAGGGGCCCTTGTGGGCACCTGAAACCATGGATAGTGTCAAACTTTATATATGCTTTGTTTTTTCCTATACATTCATATCTATAATAAATTTTAATTTATAAATCAGGTACAGGCTGGGTGTGATGGTGCATCTATAATCCCAGTGGCTCAGGAGACTGAGGCAGGAGGATCCTAGTTCAAAGCCAGCTTCAGCAACTTAGTGAGAACCTGTCTCAAAGTGAAAAATAAAGAGGACTGGGGATGTGGTTAAGTACCCCTGGGTTTAATCCTTGATATTCAATAGACAGACAGACAGACAGATAGATAGATAGAAAGGAAGTAAGGAAGGAAGGACATGACTTGGTCAGGTGGCACATGCCTGTAATCCCAGCTACTTTCGAACCTGAGGCAGGAGGATCATAAGTTCAAGGCTAGCCCAGGCAATTTAGCGAGACTCTGTCTCAAAATAAAAAGGCCCAGGGATGTAGCTTAGTGGTAGAGTGCCCCTGAGTTCATTCCCCAGTACCACCAAAAGAAGAAAGAACGGGATACAGCAAGGGATTGATGACAATAATGTAACAAAAAATTCAAACAATTATAACAATATACTGTAATAAAGTTACCTGAATGTGGAGTGTCTCTGTCTCTCTCTCTCTCTCTCAATGCCTTATTATAATATACTCACCCTTGTTTTTACTTGCTCTTGACCTGGGGTAATTGAAACTGCAGAAAGTAAAACCCAAATAAGGGGTGGGAGGACTACTATAATTTTTTTTACTAAAAGTTATAAACAATTGATAATATTAAAATGGACATAATGTGAAAGGAAATATTTTCTGCCTTTTGATTCCATTTTGCAGTTTTTACCTGAAATAGGTTTTACTTATTAAAACAAACTCTCTGATGCTGTGTTACTTGACATAATCACTTATATGTAACTTCCCCCACCTGTAACAGGATAAGCACGCACTGCTGGATGTGACTCCTAAAGCAGTGGACCTGTTGAATTATACCCAGTGGTTCCCAATTGTGATATTCTTCAATCCAGACTCTAGACAGGGCGTCAAAGCCATGAGACAGAGGTTGAGTCCAGCATCCAACAAAAGTTCTCGGAAGTTATTTGATCAAGCCAATAAGCTCAAGAAAACTTGTGCACATCTTTTTACAGGTAAGTGAAGTTTAAACTCATCTATATTCAAAAGTGAGAAAGAGAATTTAAAAAATGAAAGAAGTAAGAAAATAATCTGAATGTAGAGTTTGAAATTGTGCTTGTGACTCCTTCAAAAGTAGTTAACGATATCAGGTATACTAGGCCATGACATTCGTATATTTATAATACGAACTTATTTTGACTACTTGGATGATCAAAATGATCCGTGATGTGGTTGTCAGTGATCATTTTGAAGAGGTTCAGACTTTCATGGGGGAATACAAGGCTAGTTATCAAACTTACCTCACTGCCCAGCACCCACAGCTCTAGATTTTGTGTCATTGTTCTCTGCTGACCATCAATGCATAACTTACAAAGTGAGAAGAACTTGTCTTAATTATTTAAAAATGTCCCCCAGAAGAAATTTGAAGAATTTGGATATTGGATGATTTTAAGGATTTATTATTTTTCTTTTTTTTCAAGTGTGATAATGTGTGTTTGTATTTTTTTAGTATTTATTTTTTAGTTATAGGTGGACACAATATCTGTTTTTTATTTTTATGTGGTGCTGAGAATCGAACCCAGTGCCTCATGCATGCTAGGTGAGCGCTCTACCTCTGAGCCACAACCCCAGCCTGTGATTGTATTTTAAAAAAACAAAAGAATACTTATCTTTTAGAGATATATACTAAACAAAATACTTATGGATGATGTAGTAGAATGTCTAGAATTTGCTTCTGTAAACTTCAGGGAGGGGAGAAGATGGTATATAGATAAGACCAGACTGGCTAGGAATTGGTAGTCATGAAGTTGCTTGTTGTGTATATGAGTTCATTAAACTGTCTTTGCTTTTGTGCATGTTTAGAATTTTCCATAACAGGATTTTTTTAAGTCCCCGAAATAAAAACCCATTGCAGCTATTACTCATGAAACTAAAATGGTTTAAAAATATGGCATATTTTAGTAACTAAATATATGTCTGTCTATATAAATGACTAGTTCTGTGAATATGGTATAATTAAAGAGTTTAAATGAGTTACATAAAATTTTTGGTCATGCAAGTGCTGTATTTTCTGGGAGCATCATGAGGATACTGCACAGATGTAATACCCATTCAATAATGATAGCTCTTTAGGGTTCAGTGCCAGTTATCATCAACCTTTGTCATATTTGGCATTTCTCTGATACTGAGGAGGAAGTGGGTTTGTAAGTGTGTGTGTGTGTGCGCGCACATACACATAAGCCTCTTGTTTTATTGTCACTTGGCTGGTTGTTAAAGATGCATCACTTTCACTCTGGTGAAAACTGACAGTTCAATGAAATGCACAGGAGGAAATGATCCATCATAAGCTAGATTGCTGGGCATTGTTGAGGTTGTGCTGTTAGCATGAGCATGCATATCTTTTCTGTCATTTTACAACCACTAGTAGTAGTTATTATTATTACTGTTTCCATAGCAGCAGGGAACAGTGGTCCAGCCTTTCTCTTTTTAGGCTAGAAGACAGGCCCAGTGATGTCTGCACAAAGATCCTGTGTAGAAGCCAAACACAGTGACACATGCATGTAGTCCCAACTATTCAGGAGACTGAGGCAGGAGACTTGTTTAGCAATTAAGAGTTTAGAAGAGTTACATAATTTTTTTGGTCATGCAATCCTGTATTCGAGGACAGCCTGGACAACTTAGATCATGTCTCAAAAACTGTACTCTCTAGTATCTGTGATGCTGTGTTAATACCACATGTACCTTATAGCACAGATATACTATTCCAATGCGGAAAAAGGATCATATACAGGTTGATTATTCCTTATCTAAAATGTTTACGATCAAAATGTTCTGGATTTGGGATTTTGGAGTATTTTCTTATACATAATGAGGTATCTTAGGGATGAGACCCAAGTCTAAACACAGAATTAATTTATGTTTTATGTATACTGTAGACATATAGTCTGAAGGGAATTTTATAACAATATTTTAAAGACTTTTTCCATGAAACAGAATTTCATGGTGTGGAGTTTTCTACTTGTGACATGGTTTGGGCTTTCTAAAAGTTTCAGATTTTGGAGCATTTCACGTTTTCGATGTTTAGAACAGCCAGTAATGCAACTCTTCCTTTTAACAGATAAGAAAACAAGCCTATGTCCTCATGAGTGATTAAAACCCGCTCCCACTTCATTTTTAACCCTGCCTTGAAATCCACTGAATGGCTAGAAGCTTCCCTCAGACATTATAATTCTGGGTTCATGTGAGGATCTGAGAAATGAGGAAGGGTAATAATGGGTTATAGAAGAACCAGGCTGATGAAGGCTGGATGAAAAGGAGAGCAGGCTGAAGGAAGTAGCCAGGGACTGTAGGCACTCTCTTTTCTTAGCTTTGGGTCAGCTTTATTTTCTCTTTGAAGCACAGGCCACAATCAACTTCTGATTGAGGATTTGGGGGGGGCCTCTGTAGATAGAGCATTTAGCAACCCCTCATTTAGCTCTACGACAAGATGTTTAAAGGCAGAGAGTATACATTATCCACTTCCATGTGTCTGAGACCAGCATCAGGCCTAGCAAACAGGCAGGGTACAAATGTGTGTAACATAGGTTAGAACCCCTTCTGGGCTGGGTATAGTGGAGCACGCCTGTAATCCCAGTGGCTCGGGAGGCTTAGGCAAGAGGATCGTGAGTTCAAAGCCAGCCTCAGCAAAAGCAAGGTACTAAGCAACTCAGCGAGACCCTATCTCTAATAAAATACAAAATAGGGCTAGGGATGTTGCTCAGTGGTTGAGTCCCCCTGATTTCAATCCCTAGCAAACCCACCCAAACCAAACCAAACTAATCAACCAAACAACAACAACAAAACCCCAAAGAACTCCCCTGGCACACCAGGTCATTTCTTGTGTAAGCTAGACAGGAAGTTGAGAGCCAGAGGTTGAAGTGTAAACACCGGGCATTGAGTTTCTTCTAGAACTTTGAAGGGACCTAATCCCAATATGAATTGCCAGTCTATTACATAGAATCATCTTAAGTGCTGCAGCGTGCCACACAACTTTGGCCAGCAAGCCCCATTTTCTGTCCAGTGGTCTTTGATAATTTTCTTCCAGACTTCCAAGTTTGACTCCTCAAAGCCGAACAATGTCCTCACCAAGCCCTGTGTTCCTACCCCACCCCCTAATCAGTCTGACATCTTGGGACTTACTGGTATGTGCCATGACCAGAAATACTGGTTTTCAAACCTAAACAGCAGAATCTTAGGCAGAATTAATATTTATGATTTTAAATTTAGGGTATTTTTATGAATTAATAAATGAGAATAATAAAGGTTGCTGTGAAGAACCCAGCACTTTGAAGTCAAGCTTTATGTTTCATGTAGTCTCATTAAGTTCAATATCCTATTTTCCCCCTTTCTACGTAGTAACAAGAAAACCCTCTTTTCTAAATATGAGTATTTAGTAATGGCAATATTAAATGTCTTTCCTTATAATCTCGAGATAGTCCCAGTTAAACAAGAAACACTTTGTTCTGAGATTTGCCCAAAACCAAGTTGACTTGTCATAGTAAGTTGTTACACTTGCCTTCCCTTCTCAATTTATATATTTAGAAGTGATATATATTGTTATGTCCTCTAATAATATATGAGATAAAATGCATTTACATGTACGTGTTACAAGAATTATTTTTAAAAAAATGAAGTTTGAATTACATGTGTTCTTAGGGTCTTCAAAGTGCTGAGTTCATAGTTGGAAGACCACTGAAGTGGAATTATGGACTTAGAAACCCACCCTCCATGTTAAGTTGTGGCCTTGTGAAGCACTGTAGGATAGTCTAGCTGTTTGGTCAGCTTTCTAGGCTTCAGTAATGTGAATTTGAATAGTTTAGTCCTGGGACTTGGGAGGTGCTGAACAAATACGACTGATTATTATGAGTGATATATATTACTTTACACTTATTTATCTTTCATCATATTGTAAAGAACAAATCTCTATACCTTTATTTTGTCTTTAAAAAAGCTTGGGAGAAAAGTGAATCTTGTACCAGCCAAGAAAATGCAAACTGCAGTAGATGATTGTCAGTTTCCCCAGGGAGTGCAGAGTCTGTTGACCACAGGAAGCAGACAAGGATGACAAGCTGTGCTCTTAGCAAGCACTTTGCTGTTGCTTGCCCACTTAGCACTTCAGTGTTGACATGGCCACGGGAATAGCTTTATTGAGATATAACTTACATATCAGTGTCCCCATTTACAGTATCCACTTCATGGTTTTTTATATATATTCAGAGTTGTGCAGCCACCAGCACAATCACTTTTAGAGTGTTTTCATAACCTCAAAAAGATCGTTTGTGCCCAATTAGTAATCACTCCCAATTTCTCCCCAATCCAGCACCGTGTTACCCTTTGCTGCTGCTCTTCATGCTTTCAGCCTCCCTGTCTGGGGTTGGGATAGCACAGACCACACTCACAGCAGGCATGGATGCTCTTGGAGTCCTGGTGCTTCCAGCCCAGGGAGTGGCTGAGTGATGATGCTTTGAGAATTTTACTTTCTTACTTTGAAAGCCATGAAGGCTTGTAACAGGTCAAAGTTAGACGTTATCAACTTGGATGGGTATTACCTTTGTATGTGGCCCAGGAAATTCGCTACTGGGAAGCTCTTCTTTTTTTGTTCTGTACATTTGACTATTAATATGAACTCAGTAAGAGGTTTTGTGACTTCATTCATTTTATCAAGGGGCATGAACATATTTTCTGCATTTCTTAAGTGGCCTTATCAACTTTAGATTTTCTTTCCTTTTTTTATATAGAAGTTAAGTTTTAGATTTTCTTTATGATAAATACATACTGTACTTGTAACCAGATCACCCCAACAGAGAGCTTAACATTCTTTTTACACTGAGTGCAAGTCACTTATTTTGTCTCTGGGGTGCACAATCTCACTTCTGTATATAAGTGCATTGCATCATATTTTAGCGATAAGCACACTAATCTTTGTGAAGTACCATGATAAGGACACAAAAATCCATGGCATCAAGGTTAATTTTCATTGGGTTGCCTGATGGATCGGTTTGTTCTAATGTTGTAAATAATTAATAACCAAGGAAATTGTAAGCTCATTCAGGATTTTCCAAGGTCAGTGTTGAAACTTCTTAAATGAAAGAAAACTATATGTTACTCTGAAGGAAACTTAAAGTTGCTCACATAGTTGCTTAATGGTTCTTTGGGGCTTTAGAAGTGATATATATTGTTATGTCCTCTAATAAAAAGCCATGGCAGTTTTTTTTTTTTTTTTTAATTCCAATTTACCTGCAGTCTGATAATTTTAGACACAATTTAATCTATTATTTTGGACCACTTTACTTGTCTGGTTTATCTCTAGTACATATGGTAAAGAGCAACTGCATATGTTGCACTTTGTTAGCATTTTATATATGCTCTAAATTTGTGTCTTCCAATGGGCTGTGTGGTGTGTTGGCTAAGACCATAGGCTCCAAGGACAAACTTCTGAGTCTGTGTCCAGTTTCCTTTCTTATTTGAAGTGAAACCTTGGGTGAGTTAATTTCACAACTGTGCCTTGGTTTCTCATCAGTAAGATGGTCTTGACAGCAATACCTCCCTCATAGAGTTTATGTACTTAGAATAGTTTCTGGCTGACCCAGAGTAAGTGCTATTATGTGAGGTATATTTTGTTCTGAATAGAAAAAGATTCATTCTTTGAATATATACCAGCCAAGCTTGGTTTATCTGTTTGTATATTCTAAAAGTGTTGACAACTCTCAAAATGATATAAGTGTTCCTAATACTTAGTATATTAGTGTTTATTTTTCTTATTTACCATATTCATATCTATGTAATTTCTTCTTTTTTAATTTTTGAGTCCAGGTCTTGCTAAGTTGCTGAGGCTGGCCTTGATTTTAGAATCCACCAGCCTCAGTCTGCCCGTCACTGCGATTATAGGCGTGTGCCACTGTGTCCCACAGTGATCTTTAAAATATAATTTTATTTGTTTTAGACTTGCTGTGCTGCTGAAAATGTATTGTTTTAAAAATAGAATTTTTAAAGGTAGCATTTCTAAAGAATAGATATTCTGGAAATAAACCCATTATTAGTTTTATAACACCTGCCTGTAATGTAAGTTGTAACAACTAGGTGGTTAATAGCTTAAATTATATTCAACTAAAAGGATTTACATAGGCTTTTTGAATTTACCAGAGTTTTATATTCAAATATGACAGAAAGACATATGAATTATGTTAGAGAGCTTCTTGAAAAAACATTACTCTGGAAATTGATGTAAATCTTTTTGTTTACATTTATATAGCTATAATCAACCTCAGTTCAGCCAATGATAGCTGGTTTGGCAGCTTGAAGGACACCATTCAGCATCAGCAAGGAGAAGCAGTTTGGGTCTCTGAAGGAAAGGTATGTGGCCTAGACGTGCTGCTGTGAGGTGAGAGTTCGTGTTCTGAATCTTCCTCAAGAGGGCAGTGAATGTAGTAATACCATGGCCAAAGTGATTCCAATATGTGTTTTCCTCAAGTCTGAAATCTTACAAACTTTCCAACAAAGTAACAAATGGTGTTTTGTTTTGTTTTTAATGCAGAATGTGATGTATGTGGCCCTACATTCACTCCCCTTTTACTTTTAATGTAGTAACTAGTATTGTATTTCAAGTACACTAATCAGAGCTTACAAGATCTTGTGCTGAGCTCCAAAGCTTACTAAGACATGGGAAACTTAGAGTGGAGATGAGAGGCAAGGTTGAGGACCATGGAGAACATGATTAAAAATTAATACCCAAAGAAAAGCTAATGGAATTAGAATTATTTGCTTAGAAAAGAGGTTGGTAGAGAATGGGCCATAGTTCTAAGACTCTGAATAGCTGATATTAAAGTGCTAGGCCTCTAAAATTGAGTAGCATCTCCTCCATAGATAGAGTTTATGCACGGCTGTGCTACAGAGAAAGATTGTAGAACCTGCAATCCCCTTCATTCTGGGATTTGGTGCTAGCGTCCTGTACTTCAGCTGAATTGAGGTAGTTTGTGAGCCTTTCTAGTGATGATTTTGTTGCAGAATTGATTAAGTCTTGTACTTTGGGAACTGGATGGTTAGTCTAGGTATCTATCTATAAGCATCTTCCAGGTGCTTATACTCTGCAAGGCTCCCTGGGGAGGACAAGTCTCACAGGGATCTGAGAATCTTGTAGATGAGTGGAGATGCGTGTAGCACAGGGCAGTGTGCATTTATTACTAAGGGACAGATACCAGGAGAAAAGGCTGAGTGAAGCTGGATTATGGAAGAAAAGCACAACCACCAGAGGAAGTGTGGCTCAGTTGTGGATGGATGGTAGCAAGGATAGCCTGGAGGGTTCCTAAGTGGAGTCCCTGAACCACACTTGACATCGTGACAACATTGAGTCAGAGCCAAGTGATTTCAGGAAAATAAAGGAACCCTCCCCATCTAGGGTGTATCAAGGTTTCAGACACATGGCCATGTCCCTGGGAGTTTCCTTGAGTCCACACTCCCAAGAGCCACGTCAGACCCCACTGACCCTCCAAAACAAATTCCTCTAGATGGAAGGGATGGATGATGACCCTGAAGACCGCATGTCCTACTTAACCGCCATGGGCGCGGATTATCTGAGTTGCGACAGCCGCCTCATCAGTGACTTTGAAGACACAGACGGCGAAGGAGGTGCCTACACTGACAATGAGCTGGATGAGCCAGCTGAGGAGCCGCTGGTGTCTTCCATCACCCGCTCCTCCGAGCCGGTGCAGCACGAGGAGGTGAGGCGAGGCTGGCACCAGGCTCCAAGGCCACGGGCAGGAAAGGAGAGTCTTGCATTGTCTCACTTGAATTCTTCTGGACACCTGTTAACTCAGGTGCTGTGGAAGGTATTCCTAAGGGTTGGAGCAGACTGCCAGTGAGTTTCACTCAGAGTCAGCACCTGTATCATTGTGGCTGCAATCCCTGGGAAAGTGGGACCCAAAAGTGCCATCAGCAGAGGTTGAGTGTTCAGTGCTTGTCACACCCCTGCCCTCGGTTGTGATGGATAAATGGAATGGCTTTATGTGCCAGCTGTTTAAATTATAAGTTGAATATTCTTTTTAAAATACGGTATTGCTGTACTTACTTGTAACCTTTGATTAGGTCTCTCTCTCTTTGTACTCTTAGGAGCCCTTGCTTTTCTTCTCCACTCTGCCTTTAACCTTCTAATCTTGTCAGAGCTCCTGAGTGTTTCCATATCAGTTTCCTTCTCTTTTCTATTTCAATTTTTAATTGCAATTATGATCAATTATACATCTAATTATATGTACCATGCAACCAGTATCCAGTGATTTGACAGCTTACGTGGTCCTAGAAATTACGTAGGCATTAATTTAGGACCAGAGCAATTATTAGTTGCACTTTAGAGAATATCAGAATAATGATCTTTGTAGACAAGGTTACCCAAATATATTTGGATAATTATTGCTATAAACTTCCCTTTAGCAATTTAATTCATTCTAATGAATGACACTTTTCTTTATGAAATAGAATTATTAAAAAAAAATAAGTTGAAGGGGGAGAAAAACTCATACCACCACCACAATAAAAAATTTATATACTGCTAGACAAGTTGTAAATAGTAACTTCTGGCTGGGTGCAATGGCACACACCTATAATCCTAGTGGCTTTGGAGGCTGAGGCAGGAGGATCACAAGTTCAAAGCCAGCCTCAGCAACTTAGTGAGGCCCTAAGCAACTCAGCGAAATCCTGTCTCAAAATAAAAAATTAATAAATTTACAAAAAGAATAAAAGAATAACTTCTGAATATCTACAGATATAAATGAACAAATGCTTTAGTAATGTTAATAGTTATTGATGACACACTAGATGTTAGGAGGTTTTTTTTTTGGTAATTGTACTTCAAAGGCAGAGTCTACTACACTGGATGCAGCCAGCATCATAAATGTGTCTTAAGCTCATAGGAGGGTACCCAGTATCTATCTGCTTTTTCAGTAAAAAGCTCTGGCTCACACTTTTATTTCTGAACTCCAGCAAAGCAGACAAGTGCTCTCTGCTCTCTGCTTGGATGTTCTTGTTGTGAATGCACGTTTATGTTTTGTAGAGCATAAGGAAACCCAGTCCAGAGCCACGAGCTCAGACGAGGAGGGCTGCTAGCAGAGATCAACTTAGGGACAGTAGCCCGCCCCCGGCATTCAAACCTGAGCCGCCCAAGGTACGTGGCTGGGAAGCCCAGGCTGGAAAGCCCAGGCTGGGGACCAAGAGGAAGCAGGTGTTCCCAGACCCCCTGGATAGCCAGCGAGGAGCACACACAATGAGATGGTGTTGGATTATGGTTTTGACTCACTGTGTTCTCTTTTAGAGAGAGTATTCTGTGGGCTGTTGGGTGAACCCCAAAATTAGGGAAAGGCCAAAAAAAAAAAGGAGGGAAAAACTGCGTTAAGAGGGTATACAATTCTAGAACTCTTGAAGTTTTTGTTTGTGAAGGAAGAACAAATTTGACAAATGCTGCATGCCCAGAATCACCAGTCTCAGAATCTCTGTTTTTCTTTTTTCTGTCCAATTAAAGTTTTCTGCCCACAATCTGATTTGGATGTATCAGAAAATCCTTCCTGGTGATTTGCTAAAGAAAACAATCATTACCATTGTTTAGAATGCCTCTCACTATGAGAGCAACTTAATTTATTTGTTTAATAAATTGTCATCAAGAACAGAATCAACCTAGAGGCATAGAAGCATACAGCATATAATTCTTTACCCCTGGTTGGAATCAAAGCTTTTCCTTACCCTGCAATAAAAGTTTCTCTATTTAATTCAAAAATATAGATGAGAAGAAAACGCTAATTGATGGTGCGAGCTGAGAAGAGCAATTAGTGACCTCATACAGTGAGGAGGGCTAGAAGCAAAGTATGAAGGAGAAGTGGCTGTCAGCATGGTGTGCTGCCCTCCTGGCTCCACACCCCAATCTCTTTCACCCCTGGCTGGCACAGGTCTTGCCTTCCAGTCATGGCATGCACACACAATGCAAATTGACCTCAGAAACCCACTCCCAAAGTTGACTTGTTCAGAGGTCTTCTCCAACATTCTGGTATCCTGTGGTACAAAATTATTAAAGGTTTATTCTGTGTGTAGCAATGGATATCCTCCCGGCCCTTTCTGACAACCTGAGGTAGGGCTCAGGATGCCCAACCAGTGGCTGTTTGCCCTGCCATATTTGATCTCTCATTTGAATGGTATTTGTTGACCACCCTTGGAAACTGATCAGGAAATGGAGTGTATTAAATCACTAATATAGATTTGAAAATAAACTAAAAGCCCAAGGTAAAAACATGTCATTAACTTTTTGCAGGCCAGAACCCAGAACAGGGAAGAATCCTACGACTTCTCTAAAAACCAGGAATACAAGTTAAACCCCTCTACCGTGGCTGGTAATGAAATTCCAGGGGTATCTACCAAAGGTTGTCCTCCCCCTGTTGCAGCAAAACCTGCCTATGGAAGATCTATCCTGAAGCCCTCCACTCCTGTCCCTCCCCCTGAGGGTGAGGAGGTTGGGGAGAGCAGTGAGGAGCAAGACAACACTCCCAGATCAGTCCTGGGCAAAGTCAAAATATTTGAGAAGATGGATCACAAGGCAAGATTGCAGAGAATGCAAGAGCTCCAAGAAGCACAGAATGCAAGGGTAATTTGGTGGGGGCAGGGTGCTAATAGTTTTTAAACCACTAGAGGATCCGGGTATGTCAACAATAAGTTGTGAGTAGGTTTGATTTCAGTATAATGGTGCACAGTTCTTTTTCCACTGCCAGGAACATGACAGGGATGTTCAGTGCTATGTGTGTTGCTTCTGGTTTGTCAGCTGTTGGCACATCCTTTTTTTTCTTCCAGTCAAGAAGCCTGATAGTTTAGGTGAATAAGATTCTGCAGTTCAAACTTCATACTTCTGTTCTTCATGCCTTGTATTGGGTTCTGGAATGGGGGAGTACAACAAGAGAATCAGGACCTCCCAGAAGTAACTTTATTTAATTAGACCGTTTGTGATGTTTATTGGGTAACTGAGTCTGCATTTGCTCCCAGATTTGCCAGAGAATCAGTCCTACCTCTACATTGGGTGCTAAAATGAAAAGGCCTATTGATTGTACTTTCTGAGCTATTTGAACTTCCGTATTGTCTGCATATATGACCTTGCAATGTCAAAGAAGAATTTCAGTGGAGCCAGGCATGGTGTCGCATACCTGTGGTCCCAGCCACTCAGGAGGCTGAGGCATCACTTGAGCTCAGGAGTTTGAGACCAGCCTGGGCAACAGTGAGACACTGTCTGAAAAGAAAAAAAAAAAAAAAAAAGACTTAAGTAAAAGTCCACAATGTGTAATCTGCCCAGCAGATGAAGTTTTCATCATTGAAGTCTGTCACAAGAGCATTTAAACATTTTTCATATTATTTTCCTTATTGTGATAAAATATACTTAACATACAATTTACCATTTCAACTCTTTTTAAGCATATAGTTCAGTGGCATTAAATATATTCATTGTACAACCATTACCACCGGGCATCTCCAAAATATGTTCATTCTCCCCAAGTAAAACTGTACCAATCAAACAGTGACCCCCATTCTCTGTTCCCCCAGCCTTGACAACCACCATTCTCCTTTTTGTCTCTGAATTTTATAATTTAAGAACCTCAGATAAGTGGATCATAAATATTTGGGATTGGCTTATTTCATTCAATGCCCTCAAGTTTCCTCCATGTTGTCCCATGTTGACAGGGCTTCATTTCTCTTAAATGTCTTTCTTATTTGACATGTACACGTAACTATGGAAACTGGAGTTCTGTGGGTGAAGAAGTAGGATATGAGGCAACCTTGGGGCCAGCAAGAAACCAGCCAGGTGAATTGCTCAGTGGTTCATTTTTTCATTCTTATTCTTTTTTCCTAATTGCCACAGATTGAAATTGCTCAGAAGCATCCTGATATCTATGCAGTTCCAATTAAAACGTACAAGCCAGATGCCAGCCTGCCCCAGCACACAAGGTAAGAGTCACTCACTCAGAAACAAAGATCTTAAGGAGGGAGCTTCTTAACCCTTTGACTTGAAGGAAGAATTTTCTTTACCCAGATTTCAGAACAAGAGGATTCCCTTCAACCCTTGTCCAACTGTTTATCTTGCCTATATATATATATATATATATATATATTTTTTTTTTTTTTTGTACCAAGGATTGAACCCAGGAGTACTTAATCACTAAGCTGCATTCCCAGCCCCTGCCCCCCTTTTTTTTTTCCTTTTTGGTACCAGGGATTGAACTCAGGGACACTCAACCACTGAGCTACATCCCCAGCCCTATTTTGTATTTTATTTAGAAACAGAGTCTCACTGAGTTGCTTAGCCACCTCACCATTGCCGAGTCTGGCTTTGAACTTGCGAGCCTCCCGAGCTGCTGCGATTACAGGTGTGCACCACAGTGCCTGGCTATCCCCAGCCCTTTTTATGTTTTATTTTGAGACAGGGTATTGCTAAGTTGCTGAGGCTGGCTTTGAACTTGCAATCCTCCTGCCTCCGCCTCCCAACCTTCTGGGATTATAGGCCTGCACCTGTAATTGTCCATCAATTGTAACTGTAAAGATTATGGTCAAGAATTCATGATAATTTTCCTTGTGTGCCTGGTAGCTTTTGACACTTTGGAGCACAATTTTGTTAAATGGTGTCAGGATAGCACAGGAGCAAAATTCCTAGGGCTTCGCCCTTTTCTGTCACTTAACTGTTTTGTGCCTCTTAGTCAAGCTTCTTAATTCCTTTGCATCACACAGCAAAATCAGGCCACTTATGCCAAACTGGGTCTGAAGGGACTATGACAAGCAATTGACCAGTGTTGTTAAGATGCTTCCTATTTAAAATGCTCACAGGCACTAGGGATCACCACAGTATCTTCTTGTTGAGGTTTTATACTGGATCATTTCCTACTTCCAAGGATAGGGGAAAAAAAAATCACATTTTTCGTGGCCATTTTGATTGGAAGCTAGAGTCTAGTTTTATGGCAATAGAAAGCTAGAGGGACATTTCTTCTTTAGCAATTAGATGGTAACGTGGCCAGGTTGCTTCTGGTAACTGAGGGGACTTGGTGCCTGACATTGACAGAGACTCTCTGTGCTAGGTGAGGCTGGGGTAGGGTGAGGAAGGTACCCTCTCTTTATCCAGTGGGGCAGCCTTAGGTCAGGGAGCACCCAGCAGATGCTCTTCATTCATTGTCCAAGTGGGCCACGGCCTTGACCTTGACCTAACCCTTTCTCTGCCCTCACCACTCTGTGGACCTGGAGTGGAGCCAGAAGTGCCCTGGTTGATGGGCAGAGTGCTCAGAAGTCAGTAAGGGATCTGCCTTGGATGCTTGCCGGCTGCACTCAAGCTTCACCTCTGCCTGCAGCCAGAGGGCATGGGCATGCCTGGGAGGTATGTAACACCCTCACTTTGTCAGTTCCAGACCCCCTGAGCCGCAGAAGGGTCCCTCCAGACACTATCAGGATGCCAGAGGAAGTTATGGCAGTGAAGCGGAGGAGGAAGAGGAGTATCGCCAACAGCTGGCGGAGCACTCCAAGCGCGGTTACTATGGCCAGCCTGCCCGGTACCGGGACACAGAATTGTAGGTGTCTGTCAAAGCAAAGACTCTTCTGGGCCTGCAGCCACCTCCAACGGGCACGCCTGCGAGGCCACCGGGTTGAATCTTTTCCAGTTAACACGCACTGTGGAGGTGTGGTGGTAACGGAGCTCCTGCTTCCCATTCGAACCCAGGTTCGCTGTCTGGGACCGGGTAGAGGAGTTTATTATGGCTTTTTGCTCAGAATTAAGAGGAACATTACAGTACGATACTGTTACTTGCTTCAGTGGACCAACATCTGTATTAATCCTGTCTTGTGTATTTTTAATATGTATATTAAGAAGCAATAATTATTTTTTCTCATTTATAGCTGCCTTTAAGGACTGCTTCACTGTGAGGCAGACCTGGGAAAAGGAATAAAAAATACTGTTGGACTCAAACTACTTTCAAAGAAGTATTTTATTACAACTCTCTAAGTGCCTTTGATGAGAAGAAGTGTCTTAAACTTTCCTCCTTTTGAAGCTTTATGCAAAGCCGTAATGGACTAAAATTGTATTTTCACTAAATTTTTGTACCAGTTTAATAGCTGGTTTTTGCTATGCTGTGTCATCTTTTCAAGACATTCATCTTTATAATACTTTTCATAAATTCTGACTGTACATATAATAGCTGTACTTGGTAGTATGTCTGTAAGTGCTAAATAGCTTGAAGACCAAGAAGTTGGTATGGAAATATTTTGTTTCAAACCATGTGTTCCACAAAAGCAGATACTTGAGAAAAGATTATTTTATTTCCACAAGTTTGTGTATTGGCAGCAGTTTTATAATTTAATAAAAAGGAATACATTACAATCAATAATCTGCTTTGTGGTGAATTTCTACTCTCTTTCATTCTTTTTACAGTGTTAGGAATCCAACCCAGGTTTTGCACATGCTAAGCACATACTCTACCACTAAGCCACACTCCAGTCTTCCTACTTTTAAGCATAACTTTTATCTATCTATCTATCTATGTATCTATTTATTTTTTGGGTAGTAGGGATTGAACCCAGGGGCAGCCAACTACTGAGCCATATCCCCAGCCCTATTTTGTATTTTTATTTAGAAACAATCTCATTGAGTTGCTTAGCACCTTGCCGTTGCTGAGGCTGGCTTTGAACTAGTGCTCTTCTTTCTCAGCCTTCTGAGCTGCTGGGATTAGAGGTGTGTGCCACTACGCCAGGCAACTTTTATTTTAATTATTTATCATGCAAGTGAGAACATGTTCCTTACTGAATGTTGAGATGTGGAGACAACTTGTGAAAAAGGAAAAATTACCCATAATCCCACCTGCTGGGTCTTTTGATGCCTTTCCTTCATGTCTGTGGATGTCTGTGTGTGACAGTTGAGTATGTACTATATCTGCAGTTGTTTCCTACTTTTTCTGTTTAATGTTCTCTCAAGAACATTTCTCTCAGATACTTAAAATTCCATGTGAACATGATTAACAACTGCAGAATGATCTATCCCTTGACCACTTAGTAAGTGAACAGTTCCGCTATTATTGACTGAATTATTTCCATTTTTTTTTTGTCTCTTTTACATGAAATGTTCCTCTATGTATATAATCTTTATTTTTGTATATCAGTGACTGGCATTTTAGTCCTTTTCTGCAAGTACATTCTCAGAAGTACAATTACTGAATGAAAATTTAGGAACATTTTTAAGGCTTTGTTTTTTGCAGTATTGGGGATTGCACCCAGGGCTTTGCATGTGCTAGGCAAGTTCTCTACCACTGAGCTAAGCCCCAGCTGAGGCTTAGGGCTCTTGATATTTATTGCCAAATTGCTTCCTCAAAAAGTTACATCATTCATTTTCTACATTCATTCTTGAAATACTAAAATAAGTTTAAAAGTTACACAAGACACTTTAGGAATTTAGGCTTATACGAATCAAAAGTAGATTGAATTTGAGAAAAAAGCCTTGGTTCTATTAAGGGTTTTTAAGATATGAATGGATGCAGAGTCCTTAATCCTGTGTTTTGGTAGAGTTCGAAATTCAGTTGACTCATAATTTGAGTTGGACGGTCAACGTGTCCTTGCTTGGGTCTCTGTCAATCTGGGTGCTCTAACTCTTAAACCATTTCTGAATTTCTGAGAAGTACTCAAAGCATTAACTAAAAAATTAACATATTCCATAAATAAAATCCACCTGTGAGTAGGAGAAAATGTACACTGGTTAAATATATGATGATCTAGTTTACTTTTGTCCTGTAAATACAGAAATGAGCCCTTTGCAAACACTGGAAGGGTGGATAGGGACATCTTAGAAGCTGGCTGCTTGTTTTGAGATGGGTTCAATGATGCAGACAGGCAGGGCTTCTGGTCCCAGTAACATTCAGTAGTGTGTCCAATGACCAACAGTGCCTCCCCCTGCCTTTTTGAAGATTCATATCCTGCTTTGTTCTGGGAAGGATTTGAAGCTGCTAAAATATGCTGGAGTAAAATGAAAAAAAAAAAAAAGATGCTGCTAGGCAAATAAGGAGGAAAGAATATCGGAACAGGGAAGAGAAAGCCATTTGCAAGGGGATAGTCACTGTGTGCTCTCAGGTCTGCAGCTCTTTGGAACATGAGATGGAACTGAGCACACGATTTCCATAAATGTCAGGGAGGGAATTTTCTGTCCATTTTTATTTTGTGGCATCTTATGGGGCAACAGCATACTTGCCAGGATGATTTTGGATGTCTGTGTCTTACCATGTTCTTTTATATAGGGCAGTAGCACAATTCCAAGGGTCACACAGTAAAAGTTTTGGAGAGAGGACCAGAAATGACAGAGTAGAAGCATCACTCTGCCATCTGGCTTTATGCAGACATCCATTCTGGAGTATCTAGGAACAATGATTCCAGAATAGGAATGTGACAAGCATCATGCTCCAAGGTAAACACGTTCATCTTTGGGAGAAATGCATTTGCTATTGGGGGAAGGGCATTTTACATTCACAGATCATGGAGGAAAATGCAAAACTAAAATGCATTTGTAGGAATAAAGCACAAGACTTAATTGAAATTTTGCACTATCCTCTTGTCTTTAGGTCACATCCTTTAGTTTCTCTCTACACTCCAGATAGCTGTCATACCTCATAAGGAGTATGCTCAGCTTCTTTTGCCAAAGATACATGCTGCATGGCTTGTGGCCCATCTCTAAGCCCACTGGTTCTTTCAACTATGACTTGGATAGATGAATGCACAGCAGTGATAGGCTGGGGAGGTTTGGGAGAGATGATAATTTGGGTCACTAACCCCAAGACCAGGTTTAGCATATAAGTGGTTTTTGTGGAAGTGCAGAAAACTTCAGCAGGAGACTGGAACTTACTCTCACCAAGAAAAGCTGGTGGTAGTTTAAAATAACTACGCACAAAGTGGGTGGACTGGGCTATTTTTATCAATAGTCTCCAACCTTGTCTGAGGGCTACTGTGTCTGTGTGTGTGTTGATGGAGAACAGGATGTCCCCAAACTCCCCCCCCCCCCCCCCCCCCGCAAAGAAGTGCAGAGACTTTAGAGCAACCAAAGCCACTGTTGTGGTTGCAGAGACTGTCATGTGAAAGGGTGGAGCCCCTGAGGACCTGGTACCGACCTCATGGAGATTTGTGATAGAATTTTGCTCTGTTGTGGTTTGGATGTGAGGTGTCCCTCAAAAACTCACATGTGAGACAATGTGAGAATTCAGAGGGGAAATGTGAGAGTCGTAACCCAATCAGTGAATTAATTCCCTGATGGGATTAACTGGTGACTGGAAGCAGGTGTGGCTGGAGGAGGTGGGCATTGGGGGCATGGCTTTGGGGTATATATTTGTATCTGGCAAGTGGAGACCCCTCCCTTTGCTTTCTGATCTTCATGTTAGCTGCTTCCCTCTGCCACACACTTCTGCCATGATGTTTTGCCTCACTTTGAGCCCTGAGGAATGGAGCTGGCCTTTGATAGACCTCTGAAACTGTGAGCCCTCCAGTAAAACTTTCCTCCTCTACAATTTTTCTGGTCAAGTCTTTCAGTCACAGCAATGAAAAAGCAGATTAAAACATGCTTCTAAGTTGGTTATAGTGGTGTTTGCCTGTAATCACAGCAGCTTGCAAGGCTGAGGCAGGAGGATCACAAGTTCAAAGCCATCCTCAGCAATTTAGTGAGGGCCTAAGCAACTTAGGAAGACCCTGTCTCTCAACATTTAAGAAAAAAGGGCTAGGGATGTGACTTAGTGGTTAAGTGCCCCTGGGTTCAATCTCGGGTACCAAATAAAATAAGAGCCAGGTAGGTAGATGGGTGACAGCTATTCCAGAATGACATCAGGTTCCACCATTTGGCACTTTTACTTCTGAAAAAAGTTCTTTAGGGACAGTCCCTTCAAGAAATTACCTCTGACTAGAGAGAAAGGGGACACATGTTCTTCTCCCTCTCTCCAGCTAGGGTCATTTTATTTGTTCTAACATTCTGATCCAGTAAAATTCTGATCCCTTAAAGATGGGTTAATTGCTGCAGGATACAGAGAATATGGAGATAGAGGATCCTCAGAGAGAGAACCCTGTATCCAAATGAATAATGCATTTGGGGAGGAATATATAAAAACCAGTTCACAGGAGGGTATCCGTCTTCCTTTGCTTCTAAGTCTCTGCCCTTAAAGTGGCAGCTTTAAGATGGGAGTTAAAAGTTTAAACTTTTCATTAAACCCCCAGAAATGCCAGCAGACACAACAGCTTTTCTTTAGGGCCCCGCTGAACTGTATTCTAGGGAAACAATTGCCCAGGGTCCCATTCCAAGGAAGCTTCTTGGGTGAAAGATATGCAAGCAACCAAAGCCACCGTTGTGGTTGGAGATCTGCTAAACCAGTCATATGTTGTCACAAGGCCCATCTCAATTGTCCATGGAGAGGCTTTAGACATTAGGGACTAGGTTGGGCTTACCGGAGAGTCAGCCATGGACCATCACCAGAAACAGCAGCATCCTGCAGAGGCTGAGAGTGAAGGGAAGGTCCAGTGCCAAGGAGGTGAGGCACTCTCCCTCGGCTGCCTCCTGACAACCTGAGAGGTTTCCTAGTTTAAAACCTAGAGGTTTCTTGGTATCCAAGAAACCAAGACTTCTTGGGTACAAGAGTTTCCTGGAAGGGCTTCCTTCCCATTGTCAACTCTACAGGCAGAAAGGAAGTC